GGGGCCGTTTCCCGGGGCGGTTCCCGGGCCGTTCCCGGTACCTGCGGGGGTCGGGCAGGTAAAAGTCCAGCGCGAAGCCGAAGAGGGACCCGGGGGCCCCTCGGAAGACCACGGGCCGCGATGCCTCCAGGTTGAAGGCGGCGACGGGCGGGAGCAGCAGCGGGAGGAGCAGCGGGATCGGGAGCGGGCTCCGGGGCCGGGAGCGGGGCCGGGGGCGGCGCGAGGGGGCCGGGGCCGGGGCCATGGCGGTCGGGGCTGCCCGGGCTCGGCGCTGCTCCCGCTGCTGAGTCCCCTCGGAAAGTGCCCGGGGGGGGGGCCCGGGGCCCGCCCCGCCCCCGCCGTGACTCACCGGGGAGGAGCCACGGCCACTCGGGGCACCGGCACCGGCACCGGGCACGGCCGGCGGGGACACGGCCACGGCCACGGCGCGGGGGGAGAGAGAGGGACTTCGGGGACGGGGACATCGCGGGGGAGAGGGACACTCTGGGGGGGGAGGGACACTCTGGGGGGAGAGGGACATCCGGGACGGGGACATCACGGGAGGAGAGGGACGTCCCGGGAACACTGGGACATCAGGGACACCCTGGGACACCGGGACATCCTCGGGGAGGGGGGTGGGGGAGAGGGACAGCCTGGGGACAGCGGGACATCAGGGACACCCTGGGGAACCCGGACAATCCTGGAGCACCGGGACGCTCCGGGGACATCGCGACACGCGAGGAACGTGAGGGACATGAGGGGCAGGGACACTCCAGGGGCATTGGGACACTCTGGGGATTCCGGGACATCAGGGACAGGGACACTCTGGGGACACTCTGGGGACATCGGGACATCAGGGTTGGGGACACCTGAAGGACATGGGGACACCCCGGGGACAGCGGGACACCCCGAGGGCGCAGCGGGGACACCCGTGGGACAGCGGGACAGCGGGGACAGGGACACCGGGACACAGGACACGGGTACAGGACACTGGGGGGACACAGGGGGGACACTGGGGGGACACTGGAGCGCAGGACACCACCGTGAGACACGAGTGGGACACACACGGGGGACACCTGAGGATTGGGGGACACAGGACACCAGTGGGGGGACACGGTGAGGGGGGACAGGACATGGGTGGGACAGGCCGGGGGGGTGGCAGGGTTGGGGACACGGCGGGGGAAGGGGACACAGCGGGGGGGACACGGCGGGTGGGGATGGAGGGGGGCCGGATCCCGCCGGCGCTTCCTGGAAGGAAAGAGCGGAAACGGGGCTGGAGCTGGAGCCGTTCCCACGGCGGGGGTGGGACTCCACGGGGGGACACGGGGAGGGCTGGACACTCTGGGGCAGAGAGGAGGGTCGAGACCTCACTTTGGGGGAGCACGGGGACAGTGGGACCCCCACGGAGGGGACACGGGGGGCGAGACCCTCACGAGGGGCCATGAGAGGCGAGGGAGGGGCTGAGGGCGCAAAGGGGTGGGGGCTTGACGAGGGCGGGGGGGTGAAGTGTCCTGGGGGTGTCCAGGGGTCGAGGGGTGCCCGGAGGGTGGTCCTGGGGGTCGAGGGGGGTCCAGGGGGTCTGGGGGTCGGGGCCCTCTCCGCCGGGGGCGGGGGGCCGCATTCCTGCGCCGCTGATGTCACGGCGCCCGCGCAGCTGGGCCGGGGTCGGGGGCTCGGAGGGGGCTCAGGTGTGCGGGCGTCCCCCGATGTCCCCCTGGCACCCCTCGTGGGTGCTCCTGCCCCTGTGCCCAGGCCGGGGGACAGGGGGGACCCGCGTGCCCGCCCCGGTGGCACCGTGGGGACAATGTGGGTGCCCAGCGGGGTGGCACGGTGACCGTGGGGACCCGTGGGGACAGTGGGGGTGCCCGCGGCGGTGGCACCGCGCCCGTGGGGACAATGGGGACGTTTCCGTGGCTGGGAGGGAAGTGCCGGGAGGGGGGGGAGGAACAATGAGCTGGCGCCGGGGCCTTTCCTGCCCCAGCCGGGCCCGGGCACGGGAGTGGGGCTGACACTGGGGGTGTGAACACGGGTGTGAACACGTGTGAACATGGGTGAACATGGGTGTGAACACGGGTGAACATGTGTGTGAGCGTGGGTGTGAACATGGGTGAACATGGGTGTGAACATGTGTGTGAATGTGGGTGAACATGAGTGTGAACATGGGTGTGAACACGCGTGTCCTGCCCTGCCCCCTGCTCACATTCACCCCGGTGTCCCCGTGTCTCCCTGTCCCCGTGTCCCTGTTGTCCCCCTGTCCCGTGTCAGGTCCCACTCCTGCCCCAGCCCCCCTCGTCCCCCCCAGAGGTGCCACCCCCGGGGTCCCCCAGCCCCATTTTGGACCCCTCCCCATAAACACTCCCCTCCCCCAGCCCCAGCCTCTGGTGACTCTCTGTGTCCCCTCGTGTCCCCCCCACTCGGCGGTGCCGGCGCGTCCCTGAGTCACCGTGGGGGGGTGGAGGGGAGACACTGACACGGGGGGCCGGTCCTGACTCACAGCCCCTAATATAGCCCGGCCCGGCCGCGGGGCCACGTCACCCTCCGCGCCCCCTGAACCCCCTCGAGCCTCCCTGAACTCCAACCCCCCTCGGGCAGCGCGACCTCCGCGTGGGGCACAGGATGAGGGGGTGTGGGGTGGTCTCAGTGCCCGGGGGGTGCGTGGATGGCTGGGGGTGCGGGGCTGGCAGGGAGCCCGGCAGGGCGCGGGGGTCGCGGGGGCCCTGGCGGCACCGGGCGCTTCCCAAAAAGCGCGCTGCCGGCGGTGGGGAGAGGGAGAGCGGCCAGGACGGGATACGGGGGAGGGACACGAGTGGGGGGTGGAAAGAGCACAGCAGGGGACAAGGAGGGGGACACGGAAGGAGGGACGCGCGGAGGGGGGACACGGGGTTGGGGAGGGGGCGGCACACGCGTGGGACATCCTGGGAGAGCCGCGGGTGGGGAACACGGGAAAACACGCGGCACACGCGTGTGGGAGGGCGTGAACACGCGTGGGACACGTGGGGACACGGGGACCCACTGCACGCGCGTGTGTGAACCCACCCCATGCTCCGGGTCGGGGGGTGCAGGGGGACCCCTCTCCCTCAACCCCCCCAAATTTTGGGCCCCCAGGACCCCCCAAAATCACTTGGGGAAACCCCCAAGGTCACCCCGGGACCCCCTCCCTGGGCCCCCCACTTCGTGACCCTTCCCAGCCCCCCTTTTTGGGGTGACCCCCCCCACCTCCACTTTAGGACCCTTCCTGGGTGGGGGGCTATGGAGAGATCCCCCCAAAAAATGTTCAACCCCCCCCAAAAAATGTTCCAAACCACCCCAAAAATGTTCCAAACCACCCCAAAAAATGTTCCAAACCACCCCAAAAATATTCCAAACCACCCCAAAAAGGCTTCAGGAGGTCCTGGGAGGGGGGTGGGGGCACGGGATGTTTTTTGGGGGGGTCCCAGAAGCCCCCCCGGGGCCGCGGGAGCCGCAGGAATTGGGGTGAACACGAGGGGTCCTTCCCTTCCCAGCCCGGGATGGGGAGAAACCCTTAAAAAATCCCGGGATGAGGCGAAAAATCCGGGAAATCACCCCAAAAAAATACGGGGGGAGGGGGGTGACAAAAGGATTTCTGTGGTGCCACCAGAAAATTCCGGCTCTTCCCTGGGCAGCTCCAGAATTCCCGGCGGGAGCGGGACCCGGGGGGAGGCTCCGAGGGGAGGGAAAACCGGGTGGAAAAAGTGGGAAACGCCTGGGTTGTTTTGTGTTTTGGTTTTTTTTCCCACCCGGTGACGGCGATCCCGTTTTCCAACCCCCGCCCTGGAAAAGCACCGGGAAAGGGTGGAAAAAAAATCCCTTCTGGAGTGTCCCGGTTCTCCAGGAGGAGCTCGGAGAGAGGGGGGGGAAATTCCCAATAAAAGGGTTTAAAACGCTTTTTTTTTGGGGGGGGGGAAACAAAATCCCAATGAAAAGGTTTAAAAGACTTTTTTTTTTTTTCCTGGGGATAAATCCCGGGATAAACGATCGGGACGGGGAATGTGGGGAGGGAAAGGGGATGTGCAGCTGTGCCAGATGTTGGGATCGGGGAGGGAGGGCAGGGAAGGGAAAGGAAAGGGAGGGGAGGGGGGAATCCTGCTCTGCAGCTGCAATCCCGGAATTAATTACAATTCCAGATCCTTCCAGCGACCCCCCCCTCCCTTTTTCCAACCCTCCCCGTGCAGGGATGGGCCGGATCCAGCGCTGCCCTCGGCGTGACCCCCTGGAAAAGGGAGAAAACGGGGAAAAAACGGGATAAAACGGGACAAAACTGGGAGAGGAAAAAGGATAAAAAGCTGGGTTTTTCCCTCAAATCCGGCGCGGGGGGAGGGGGTGGATCCCGGGCTCCGGGGGTGTCGTCTGGGGTGGTGACGATGACACAGATGTTCCCATTTCCACGTTTTCCGCCCCAAATCGGCGGCTCCGAGTTCGGCTGGGGGTGGGGTGGGGAGGTGTCCGAGAGAGGGAGGAATTCGGGGGATTTTGGGGTCCTGAAGGATGTTGGGACGCAGTTTTGGGAGAGGTCCTCAGGGTTGGGACCCTCCCACTCCCTCATTTCAGGGTGGGGACCCCCAGTTCTCCCCCTTTCCCCTTTCCATCCAGGGTACCCCCTTCCAGGGACCCCCCAAAACCTCCCTCGAGGTTGGGGACCCCCCAATGTCCCCCTCCTATCTAGGGACCACCCCCACCCCCATTTCAGGGTGGGACCCCCTGTCCCCCCCTTCCAGGGCAGGGGACCCTGGCCCAGTGCCCCGGAGCACGAGGGGGGGCCCCCCTTGTGCAATTGAGCCCAAAATAATCCCCCCGAGCCCAAAATTCCGTCCCACCCCACTCCTGGGAGCACCGGATCGGTGGGAAAGGGAACGGGGTGGGGAGGGGGGACAAAAAAGGGGGAAAATCCCCTCAGGAATGGGGAGGGGGGGGGAAAATCCCGCTCTGTCCGCCCCCCCTAAATGAGGAATCACCCGCAGGATTTGCAGCCACTTTTATTTATTTAATTATTTATTTAATTATTTATTTATTTATGTGTTTGTTTATCTATTTATGTATTTATTTATCCCCTCGACCGTTTTTAAAAGCTGGGGGGACAATCCCCCCCTCTCCTGTCCCACCACCCACCTCCTCCTCCCCGAGACCCCCTGCGGCTCCTGCGACCCCGGGGTCTTGTGGGGAGCGGGGGTCGGGCAGGGCTCTGCCCCCGCTGTCACTGCTCCGGCTCCCTCCGGGGTCCTGAGACCCCCTCGGCTCTCGGGGGGCTGCGGGGCTGGACCTGGGGGTGGAGGGGACACGAGGGGTCAGTGCAAGGGACACGCACACGAGTGGGGCGCTCGGGGACATTTTGGGGGTGGGGTGGTGGTCCTGGGGTCGTACCTGTCGCGGGGCACGGGCAGGTCCAGGTGGGTGACGTTGAGGATGAACGGGGGGGCTCCTCCAGCGCGTCCAGCTCTGGGGGGGAGGGGACACACGGAGAGGGGTCGCGTCAGCCCTGTTGGGGAGGGGGATTTGGGACACTCCCAGGGACCCCCGGGGATCCTCACCTGCATCCCAGTACTCCCGGCACGGGGGCTGCCACGCCAGGGGGCTCCGGGGTGTCCCCAAAGTGCTCCAGGGAGCGCCCTCGGTGTCTGCGGGGGACAGAGAGGGGACACAGCGGTGAGGGGTTTGGGGTGTCACACACACCGGGTGGGGGTCTGGGAGTACCTTGGGGGCGTCCAGCAGGCGCCGGTCGGGGCAGGAGCTGAGGTGGCCCCGCAGGTGTCCCCGCGGGACGCGGTGTCGCGCGTTGAAGGGACACGTGGCCAGACCGCGCGACGCCTGGGGGTTGTTCTGGGGGGTTTTGGGGGCAGTTGGGGAGGGGAGTGACACAGCCCCCCAGCCCCCCCAGCCGCGTCCCTGGGGGTCGGGGGGGTGGAGGGGACACCCTGTAGGTGGCTGAGCCTCCAACTCCCCCAGACCCCCGAGGGGTCCTGAATCACAGCCCTGACCTCCCCAACCCCCCAGAGACCCCCGATGTCCTCCCCAGAGACCCCGACATGCCCCAGACACCTCCCCTTCTGAGACCCCCTGATATCCCCCCAGACACCCCAACCCCTCCCCAGAGACCCCAACCCCTCCCCAGAGACTCCAACCCCCAGACACCTCAACCCCTCCCCAGAGACCCCAACCTCCCCCAGACACCCCAACCCCTCCTTAGAGACCCTAACCCCTCCCCAGAGATACCTGACATCCCCAGAGACCCCCGATATCCCCCCAGACCCCAAAATCCCCCAGACACCCCAACCCCCTCCCAGAGACCCTGACATCCCCCAGAGACTGATATCCCCCAGAGACCCCAACCCCTCCCAGAGACTCCAGCCCCCAGAGACCCCAACCCCTCCCCAGAGATCCCAACGCCCCCAGACACCCCAGCCCCCTAGAGACCCCAAACCCCCCCCAGACACCCCAACCCCTCCCCAGAGATCCCAACGCCCCCCAGACACCCCAACCCCTCCACAGACACCCCCACCCCACCTAGACACCCCAACCCTCCCCAGAGATCCCAGCCTCCCCAGAGACCCCAACCCCCCAGACACTCCAGCCCCTCCCAGGGACCCTCGGTCCATCCTGGACCCCCGGGGTCCCTCCCTCACTCCTCCCCAAAAGAGACCACAACCCCCGGTTTGGCCCCTACCCCGCCATGTCCCGTACCCCAACGCTTTCCCCCTCCCTCCCCTGACCCCTCAGACCCCCAAACCACCCTCTCCCACCCCCTCGACCCCCAACCCCCCGTGCCGCTCACCTGCTCGCACCTGACCAGGTGGTAGGGCAGGCGCGACACCCGCACGCGGTGGTTGCGATCGTACGGGCACTGCACGAGCGTCTCGGGCTCCATGGCGAGACCCCCTTCCCCTCCCCTCCCCAACCTCCTCGGACTGGCGGAGACTCGAAGGGACCCTCCAAAAAAACCCCAAAATAAAACCCCCGATCGACGGGAGCGTCGCCGTTACCACGGCAACGGCAGCGCTTCCGGGTCCGCCGAGCCGCCAGGGGGCGCCGCGGAGCCGCTGATGGCATGGCAACGGCGGGAGAGGGGCAGGGCCAACGCAGAGGCGGAGCCAACGCAGAGGGGCGGGGCCAGGAGGGTTAAACGGGAGGGATTTGGGGGGTAAAGGGGGAATTTGGGGTAAATGGGGCTGGTGTGGGATAAAGGGGGATTTGGGAGTAAATGGGAGCTGGTTTGGGGTAAAGGGGGATTTTGAGGTAAATGGGGATTTTGAGGTAAAGGGGCTGTTTTGAGGTAAAGGGGGTGGTTTGAGGGTAAATGGGTGGATTTGGGGTAAAGGGGGATTTTGGGGTAAATGGGGGCTGGTTTGGGGTAAATGGGGATTGGGGTAAAGGGGGTGGGTTTGGGGGTAAATGGAGTGGATTTGGGATAAAGGGGGTTTTGGGGTAAAGGGGATTTAGGGTAAATGAGGTGGTTTGGGGTTATATGGGACCAATTGGGACTTTAGTTATAATTACATGGGGTTTGGGTTTCATGGGGCTGTTTTAAGTTGGGGATTTGGGGTAAAGGTGAAGGAAATGGGCATTGGGGTAAGGGGTGATTTGGGGTGAAAGGGCTGGTTTGGGGTAAAGGGGGATTTTGGGCAAATGGGGAGGATTTGTGGTAAATGGGATGGGGGATGTGGCTGGTTTAGTAAATGGGGCTTTGGGGTAAATGGGGCTGGTTTGGGGTTATATGGGACCAATTGGGACTTTAGTTATAATTATATGGGGTTTGGGGTAAATGGGGCTAGTTTGGGGGTAAAGGGGGGGATTTGGGGTAAAGGGGGGAGTTTTGGGGTAAATGGGACTTGTTTGGGGTTATATGGAACCAACTGAGACTTCAGTTATAATTATACAGGGTTTGGGTTCCGTGGGGCTGATTTTGGGGTGTGGGGTGGTGGCACTAATCTGGGGTCCTGTGGGCCTGACTGACGTTCTCTGGGACCGACTGTGTCACCCACCCACATTGTCACCCGTCCCTGGTGTCACCCACCCACATTGTCACCCGCCCCTGGTGTCACCCATCCGTTGTCACCGTCCCCGTCCCCATCACGTGGTGGCCCCGGCGCTGTCGGGGCCCAGCCCAGGAAGGGGAAGTTGGGGGTGCTGGGGCCTTTCAGGGAGAGTTGGGGGGGCCCTGAGGGGACCCAGGGGGGTGCCAGGGGGGTGCCAGGTGCCACCATGTCCCTGCCCTCGGTGTACGGGGACAAACTGGCCGAGAAGCTGACGCTGCTCAACGAGCGCGGCCGGGGGGTCCTCGTGCGCATCTACCACATCAAGAAGGTGGGGGGGCCCCCGAGGGGTCTGGGGCACCTGGAGGGTCTGGGGGCATCTGGAAGGTCTGGGGGTACCTGGGGGTCTGGGGGGTGTCTGAGAGGCTTAGGTGGGTCCTGAGGAATCTTGTGGGAGTCAGGGGGTCTGGGAAAGCCCTGGGGGTTTTGGGGGTCCTGGGGGCATCGGGGGGGAGGGCCTTGGGAGGGCCCTGGGGGATATGGGGGGCTTTGGGAGGGTCTTGGGGGGGGGATCTGGAGGGCCCTGAGAGGTCCTAGGAAGTGCTGGGGAAGTCCTGGGGGGCCTTGGGTGGGTCCTAGGGGATCTGGGGGCATCTTGGAAGGGGGTCCTGGGGTGTTCTGGGGGGGTCCTGGGGGTCCCAGCCCAGTTGGGGTGGGGGTCAGGGTTTGGGGTCCCATCCCAGGAGGTGTTTTGGGGGTGGGGTGGTGTGTGTCTGACCGGGGTCCCCAGACGTGCTCGGACCCCCGCACGAGGCCGCCCTTCCTGGGGACAAAGCCATGGAGGCCTCGCTCAAGTTCATCAACAAGAAGTTCCCCACCTGGACGTGCGGAGCAGCACCGTGAGGGCTGTCTCCCCATCCCATGTCCCCTCCCCATGTCCCACTCCCCGTGTCCCCTCCAGTGTCCCCTCCCAGTGTCCCCACCTCCCCATCCCTCCCCAGTGTCCTCTCCCCAGTGTCCCCATCGTTGTCCCCACCCCGTGTCCCCTTCCCCACTTGTCCCCACCGTGTCCTCCCAGTGTCCCCACCAGTGGCCCAACCACGTCCCCAGCCGTGTCCCCTCCCTCGTGTCCCCTCCCCTCAGTGTCCCTTCCCAGTGTCCCCACTGTGTCCCCACCCCCTGTCCCCTCCCCACTTGTCCCACCGTGTCCCCTCCCCAGTGTCCCCACCGTGTCCCTCCCAGTGTCCCCACCCCTCATCCCCTCCCAGTGTCCCAGCTCCAGTGTCCCCTCCCAGTGTCCCCCTCCCTCTCGTGTCCCTTCCCAGTGTCCCTCTCTCAGTGTCCCCACCTCCCTGTCCCCACCCGGCCCCTCCCGGCTGTCCCCGTGTCCTTCATCCCCCCTCAGTGTCCCCTCCTCCGTGTCCCCCCCATGTCCCACACCCCGATGTCGTCGTCCCTCCCGTGTCCCCCCCGTGTCCCACGCGTGTCCCCCCTTTGTCCCCACAGCAGCACCTGGGGCCGGTGCACAGGGACAGAGGGGACATCGCGCGGGCGCTGGCCCCGTTCTACCACACCTTCCTGGACGTGCTGGAGTTCCGGGTGAGCCCCGGGGGGATCGGGGGGGGTCCGGGGGGGTCCGTCCCACGCGGTGACACGGCGGTGACACCCCCCGCGTTGTCCCCTCCCCACCAGGACCACGTGTACGAGCTGCTCAACACCATCGACGCCAGCCAGTGCTTCTTCGACATCGTGGGTGTCCCCCCACGGGAGATGCGGGTGGTCTAGGGGGGTCTGGGGGCGTCCCCGCCGCCCCTCACCGATGTCCCCGTGCTGTCCCCACCCCCCAGCACATCAACTACGACCTCACCAAGGGCTACCTGGACCTGGTTGTCACCTACGTGTCCCTCGTGCTGCTGCTGGCGCGCACCGAGGAGCGCCGGCTGCTCATCGGCACCTACCACTGCGCCCACGAGATGGCCCACGGCGCCAGGTGGGACCCCCGCGCGTGTCACACCCCACGGGGGGGGTTGTCCCCAGCGCCACCGTGTCCCCAAAATGCCACCGTGTCCCCAAAATGCCACCGTGTCCCCCGCAGCGATCCCGGCTTCGCCCGCCTGGGGCAGATGGTGCTGGAGTACGAGCACCCCCTCAAGAAGCTGGTGGAGGAGTTCGGGCCCCACACCAAGGTGGGAGAGGGGGGGTCCTGATTGGTTCTGTACCCCAAACCTGCACCCCAAACCCCTCCCAAACCCTGCACCCCAAACCTGCACCTCAAATCCTGCACCCCAAACCCGCACCCCAAATCCCGTATCCCAAACCTGCACCCCAAACCCTGCACCCCCAAACCTTCCCATCCCTGCACCCCAAACCCTACACCCCAAATCCTGCACCCCAAACCTGCACCCCAAATCCCTCCCAAACCCTGCACCCCAAACCCCGCACCCCAAACCTGCACCCCAAACCCTGCACCCCAAAACCTTCCCATCCCTGCACCCCAAATCCTGCACCCCAAACCTGCACCCCAAATCCCTCCCAAATCCTGCACCCCAAATCCTACACCCCAAAACCTTCCCATCCCTGCACCCCAAACCCTGCATCCCAAATCCTGCACCCCAAACCTGCACCCCAAATCCCTCCCAAACCCTGCACCCCAAATCCTTCACCCCAAATCCTTCCCATTCCAGCACCCCAAATCCTTCACCCCAAACCCGCACCCCAAATCCTGCACCCCAAACCCACACCCCAAATCCTTCCCATTCCAGCACCCCAAGTCCTTCACCCCAAACCCTGCGCCCCAAATCCTGCACCCCAAACCCTTCCCATCCCTGCACCCCAAATCCTCCCAAACCCCACACCCAAACCCCGCACCCAAACCCTGCGCCCAAATCCTGCACTCCCAAAACCTTCCCATCCCTGCACCCCCAATCCCACTCCCAAATCCTGTACCCCAAACCCCACACTCCCAAACCACACTCCAAATCCTGTACCCCAAACCTGCACCCCAAACCCCTCCCAAACCCTACACCCCAAACCCTGCACCCCAAACCCTTCCCATCCCTGCACCCCAAACCGCCGCGGGTAGGGGTGATGGGATGGGAGGAGTGCTAGCCGTGTCCCACGTCGTCCGCGTGGCGTGTCCCTGAGGCCGTGAGCAGCGCTCTGCTGTCCCTGCGCTTCCTCTGGGCCAGGAGGGACCGCGACGCGGAGCAGTGGAGGAAGGAGCAGCTCCTGAGCCTGCTGGGGACACCGGGGGACATGCTGAGCCCCGCCAGCTCCGACAGCGTGAGGGACACAGGGGGGACACGCGGGGGACACGCGGGGATCACGCGGGGACACGCGGGGACACAGCGACGGGGGAGGACACGGGCGCGGGGGACACGGGGATGCGGGGCCGTGGGGATGGGGACACGGTGACAGGGGCGCTGGGGGGGTGACACGGTGACACAGTGACGCGGTGACACGCGTGTCCCCAGATGGCCTGCGAGTACCTGTCCCTGGAGGTGATGGAGCGCTGGATCATCCGTGAGTGCTGGGTGGGATGGGGGGACCGGGGGGGCACACGAGGGTCCCAAACTCCCCAACCCCTTCCAGGGCAGTGTCCCCAACCCCCTCCTGGGCATGGGGACACCCCAAACTCCTCCTGGGCATGGGGACCCCCTCCTGGGCATGGGGACACCCTAAACCCCTCCCGGGCAGTGTCCCCAACCCCTCTCGGGCACTGGGACCCCTCCTGGGCAGTGTCCCCGTCCCGGGCAGTGTCCCCAACCCTCTCCTGGGCACGGGGACCCCCTCCTGGGCACGGGGACACCTCAAACCCCTCCCGGGCAGTGTCCCCAACCCCCTCCCGGCCACCTCGACCCTCCCCATCTCAAGCTGCCCCTTCCCTTTTGGGGTGGCCCTCCCCTCCATCCCAGCGTCCCCCCGCACTCCCCGTCCCTGTTTCGGGGTCTCCCCTCTCCCCGTGACCCCCTCCCGCTGACCGTGGGTGCCCGCAGTGGGGTTCCTGGTGTGCCCGGGGGCTCTGGGGGGGTCCCCCCCGTGCCAGGAGCTTTGGCGCCGGGCCCTGCAGGGGTCCCTCTTTGTCACCCTGGTGCGCGACGAGGCCATCGCGGTGCACAAAGTGACGGAGGAGCTGCTGGGGGCATCAAGGGGTGAGGATTTGGGGGACAAGGAGGGGACAGGGGGTCTCAGGGGCGCCTTCATGGGGGCTGTGCAGGGGGCTCTGGGGGTGCCCTGGGGTGTTAGGGGTGCCCGGGCTGGGGGGGCTTCATGGGGGCTGTGCTGGGGCTCTGGGGGTGCCCTGCGGTGGAGGGTGCCCGGGCTGGGGGCTTCATAGGGGAGCTGTGCTGGGGGCTCTGGGGTGCCCTGGGGTGTTAGGGGGTGCCCGGGGCTGGGAGAGGCTTCACGGGGTACCAGAGAGGGGCTGGGGGCTCTGGGGTGCCCTGGGAGTTCTCAGGGGTGCCTGGGGCTGGGGGCTTCACGGGGTACCAGAGAGGGGCTAGGGGCTCTGGGGTGCCCAGGGGTGTGTGAGGGGGTGCTGGGGTGGGGGAGCTCTGCTGGGGGCTTGGGGGTCTCCCGGGCGGTTCTCAGGGGGTTCCAGGGGTTGGGGGAGGGGGCTGTTCTGGTGGCTTTATGGGGTGCCTGGGGGTCTCTGGGGTGCTGTGGAAGGTTTTGGGACCTTCTTCTCCCCCCAGGTATGGGAAGCGCGTGGCCGATGTGAAGGAGTGCCGGGAATACGCCCTGGCTCACAGGTTTGGGGGCCTCACAGGTTTGGGGGCTCCACCCCAAATGCTGCACCCTCAATCCTTCCCATCCCTGCACCCAAACCCTGCACCCCAAACCCTTCACGTTCCTGCACCCTAAACCCTGCACCCCAACCTCTCAAACCCTTCCCATCCCTGCATCCCAAATCCTGCACCCCAAATCCTTTCCATCCCTGCACCTCAAACCCTCTACCCCAAATCCTGTACCCCAAACCCTTCCCATCCCTGCACCCCAAATCCTGCACCCCAAACCCTGTACCCCAAACCCTTTCCCTCCCTGCACCCCAAATCCTGCACCCCAAACCCACATCCCAAATCCTGCACTCCAAACCCTGAACCCCAAACCCTGCACTCAAGTCCTGCACCCCAAACCCAGTACCCCAAACCCTTCCCATCCCTGCACCCCAAACACTGCACCCCAAACCCAGTACCCCAAATCCTTCCTATTTCTGGACCCCAAAACCCCACACCAAACCCTTCCCATCTCCTGCACCTCAAGCCCTGCACTCGAAGCTCTGCACCCCAAACCTTCCTCTCCCTGACCCCAAATCTTTCACCCCAAACCCACACCCCAAATCCTTCACTCCTGACCCCCTGACCCCCCCAGACCCCCTCCCAGACCCCCTGACCCCCTGCCCCCCGCCCCCAGTGGGTCTCTGCACCGGGGCCGCCGCTCCTTCCTGCGCGGGGCCGTGCGGGAGCTGCTGGCGCTGCTGGAGGATCAGCCCGGGTTGCTCGGCCCCAAGGTGGGATTTTGGGAGGGTTTTAGGGAGGTTTGGGGGGTGGGTTTGGGGTTTTTTGGGGGCTGCTCATCCCCAAGGTGGGATTTTGGGGGCAGGTTTGGGGGTTTTTTGGGAGGTGTCAGGGTTTTTGGGGTGCAGGGTTTGGGGTGCTGGAATGGGAATGATTTGGGGTGCGGGTTTGGGGTGCAGGATTTGGGGTACAGGGTTTGGGGTGCTGGAATGGGAAGGATTTGGGGTACAAGGATGGGAAGGGTTTGGGGTGCAGGTTTGGGGTGCAGGGTTTGGGGAATGGGGATGGGAAGGGTTTGGGGTGTAGGATTTGGGGTACAGGGTTTGGGGTGCTGGAATAGGAAGGGTTTGGGGTGCAGGGTTTGGGGTGCAGGATTTGGGGTGCAGGATTTGGGGCACAGATTTGGGGTGCAGGGTTTGGGGTGCAGGGTTTGGGGTACAGGGATGGGAAGATTTTGGGATGCAGGATTTGGGGTGCAGGGTTTGGGGTGTGGGTTTAGGGTGCAGGTTTGGGGTGCCGGTTTAGGGTGTAAGGTTTGGGGCACAGATTTGGGATGCAGGATTTAGGGTGCAGGTTTGGGATGCAGCATTTGGGATGCAGGATTTGGGGTGCAGGATTTGGGGTGCAGGTTTGGGATGCAGCATTTGGGGTACAGGTTTGAGGTGCAGGATTTGGGATGCAGGATTTAGATTACAGGATTTGGGGTGCAGATTTGGGGTGCAGGATTTGGAATGCTGGAATGGAAAGGATTTGGGGTGCAGGGATGGGAAGGGTTTGGGGTGCAGGTTGGGGGTGAAGGATTTGGGGCGAAGGATTTGGAGTGCAGGATTTGGGGTGAAGGATTTGGAGTGCAGGATTTGGGGTGAAGGATTTGGGGTGCAGGGTTTGGGGTGCAGGATTTAGATTACAGGATTTGGGGTGCAGATTTGGGGTGCAGGGGGTGGGCTGGCACACACTTTGGGGTGCCAGCTGTGGGGTCCCCCCCTTCTCCCCACCCCCCTCCCCCCCAGGCCCTGCTGGTGTTCGTGGCGCTGTCGCTGTGTCGCGATGAGGTCACGTGGCTGTCGCGACACGCCGAGCACGTGACCAAGACCAAACCCCGAGGACTTCACTGACAGGTGGGCACGGGGGGACAGGGACACCTGTGGGGACCCCCTGGGGCAGTGCTGGGGGATTTGGGGGTGGTCTGGGGCAATACTGGGAGGTTTGGGGGGCACTGGGGATTTGAGGGGTCCCGGGAGGGCTCAGAGGGGGTTTCCGGGGGTCTCTGGGGATTTGGGGGGTTTGGGGTCTCTGGAGTTTTGGGGGTCTCTGGGGTATCTCAGGGGGTTTGGGGGTTCTCGGTGGTTCAGGGTCTCTGTGGGTTCTCAGGGGGTTTGGGGTCTCTGGAGTTTTGGAGGTCTCTGGGGCCTCAGGGTCTCTGGGGTATCTCAGGGGTTTGGGGGCCTCTGGGGGTTCAGGGTCTTGGGGGTTTCAGGAGTCTCTGATTTCTGAGGTCTCTGGGGATTCAGGGGGGTTTAGGGAGGTCTCTGGAGTTTTGGGGGTCTCTGGAGTTTGGGGGTCTCTGGGTTATCTGAGGGGGGTTTGGGGGTTCTTTGGGGGAGTTTCAGGGGTCTCTGGATTTTGGAGGTCTCTGGGGATTCAGGAGGCTTAGGGGGTCTCTGGAGTTTTGGGGATCTCTGGGTTATCTCAGGGGGGTTTGGGGGGTTCTTTGGGGGGAGTTCAGGGGTCTCTGGAGTTTTGGGGATCTCTGGGGGGTTCTGTGGGGGTTCTCATGGGGGTCCCCGCTCAGTCACCTGGCAGAGCTGCTGTTCCTGCTGGAGCAGCTCCGGGCCCTGGTCCGGGCGCACCGGGGGGTGCTCCGGAGGTACCACCTGAAATACCTGGCGGGCTTCGACGCCCTCGTGCTCAGTGACGTCATCCAGGTAGGTGGGGGGGGGGCGTGGCCTTGACCCTGTGTCCCCCCTGTGTCCCCCCTGTCCCTGGCACGTCCCTGTCCCCACAGAACCTGTCCGTGTGTCCCGAGGAGGAGTCCGTGATCCTCTCGTCCTTCGTCAGCTCCCTCTCGGCTCTGTCTGCCAAGGAAGGTACCCAAATGTTCCCAGAGTGGCCCCAAAATGTCTCCAGAATGTCCCCAGAATGTCCCCAAAACGGCCCCAAAATGGCCCCAAAACAGCCCCAGAATGGCCCCAGAATGTCCCCAGAATGGTCCCAGGATGTTCCCAGAATGTCCCCAAAATGTTCCCAGAATGTCCCCAAAATGTCCCCAGAATGGCCCCAGAATGTCCCCAGAATATCCCCAGAATATCCCCAGAATGGCCCCAAAATGTCCCCCAGATGTCCCCAAAATGTCCCCAGAATGTCCCCAGAATGGCCTCAGAATGGCCCCAGAATGGCCCCAGAATGTCCCCAAAATGTCCCCAGAATGGCCCCAGAATTCCCCAGAATGGCCCCAAAATGACCCCAGAATGGCCCCAGAATGGCCTCAAAATGTCCCAGAATGGCCCCAAAATGTCCCCAGAATATCCCTAGAATGTCCCCAGAATGTCCCCAGAATGGCCCCAAAACGACCCCAGAATGGCCCCAAAACCACCCCAGAATGGCCCCAAAACGGCCCCAAAATGTCCCTTTCACCCCCCAGGAACTGTGTTACCCACCCAAATGTCCCCAGAATGTCTCCAGAATGTCCCCAGAATGGCCCCAGAATGGCCCCAAGATGTCCCCAAAATGTCCCCAAAATGGTCCCAAAATGTCCCTGTCACCCCCCAGGTTTCCCCCTCCCCCTGTCCAGGGACCCCAGGGCAGGAGGTGGCAGCTCCTGGGTGCCCCTGGGGTGGGCAGTGCCACCCCCCCAGCCCCCCTCGGTGTCCCCACAGCCGATGACAAGGAGCAGTTCGACTTCACCGCCCTGCGCCTCGACTGGTTCCGCCTCCAGGTGATGGCCCTGCCCTGGTCCCACTGTCACCGTGTCCCCACTGTCCCCATGATGTGCCTATGTCCCCTGTCCCTATGTGTCCCTCTGTCCCCATGTGTCCCCATGTCCCCTCATGTGTCCTCCTGTCCCCATGTCCCCTGTCCCCTCATGTCCCCATGTCCCCTGACCCCATGTCCCCATGTGTCCCCCTATCCCCCCATGTCCCCCCTGTCCCCCTGTCCCCTCATGTCCCCCCATGTCCCCATGTCCCCTCATGTGTCCCCATGTCCCCTCCGTGTCCCCCATGTCCCCACATCCCCATGTCCCCCTCATGTCCCCATGTCCCCTATGTGTCCCCTCTATCGCCCCCATGTCCCCTGACCCTGTCCCCACGTGTCCCCATGTCCCCCCCATGTCCCCCATGTCCCCCATGTCCCCCCATGTCCCCCCATGTCCCCACATCCCTCATGTCCCCCTGTCCCCATGTCCCCATGTCCCCTCCTGTCCCCCCATGTCCCCATGTTCTCCCATGTCCCCCCCATGTCCCCTGTCCCCCACATGTCCCCATGTCCCCTGTCCCTGTCCCCACGTGTCCCCTCCTGTCCCCATGTGTCCCCACTGTCCTCTGGCCCTGTCCCCATGTGTCCTTTTGTCCCCTGTCCCCCTGTCCCCCATGTGTCCCTATGTCCCCCCATGTCCCCATGTCCCCACATCCCCCCTGTCCCCTGTCCCCAGGCCTACACCAGCGTGGCCAAGGCCGCTCTCCCGCTGGGCTCCAACCCCGACGTGGGCCGTGCCATGAACCTCGTGGTGTTCCACACCCGCCTGCTGGACAGCCCTGAGGAGCTGCTGGATGAGACCTCCGACCTGTCCCAGCTCTGGTCAGCCCTGGAACCCTGGCCCTGTGTCCCCTGACCCTGTGTCCCCTGTCCCTCCCTGTCCCTCTGTCCCCCTGTCCCTGTGTCCCCCTGTCCCTCTGTCCCCCCCTCCTCCATCCCCCACCTCCCTGTCCCACGTCCCCCACCCCTCTCCCCGTGTCCCCACCCCCATCCCCGTTTTCCACCTCTCCCTACCCCTCCCACCCTCTTTCCTGCCCCCTTGTGCCCCCTTCCCACCCCTACCCCCTTCCCTGCCCCCTCCTTCCCCTTCCTCCTTTTCCCACCCTCATCCCCTTTTCCCTGCCCTCTCCTGCCCTTCTTCCCCACCTTTTCCCCCTCCCATTCCTTTCCCAGCCCTTTCCCTACCCTTGTCCCCCTTTTTCCCACCCCTTACCCCCTTTCCTTCCCCTTTTCCTGCCCCTCTCTACCCCCTTTTCCCATTCCCCCTACCCCTTTCCCTGTCCCTTCCCAACCCCTTCCCTGCCCTTTTCCCACCCCTTACCCCTTTTCTTGCCCTTTTTTTCTCTCCTTTTCCCACCTCCCACCCCTCTCCCATCCTCTCCCCTGCCCTTTTTCCCCTTTTTCCCCTTTTCCCACCTCCTACCCCTTCCCTGCCCTTTTTCCCCTTTCGCACCTCCCACCCCCTTCCCACCCCTCCCCTGCCCTTTTCCCACCTCCCACCCTCTCCTTGCCCTTTTCCTGCCTTTTCCCACCTCCCCTGGTCCCTCTCCCGCAGTTTTTTCCCCCGTTCCGTGGACAGGATGTTCTCCCTGGCGCTGGAGGAGCCGCCCATGCTGCGCTTCAGCATCGCCTTCCCCCTGCTCTGCTCCCACTTCCCACGCTGCCTGCACCCCCTGTGCCCCGAGGAGGTGGGTGCTGACCCCCCCCCGGCTCGGATTTGGGGTCCCCCACTCGGATTTGGGGTCCCTCACCCGGGATTGGGGTCCCCTGATCACCCCACGGGGGTTAAAACACCACCCAGAGCCCCCAAACCCCTCTTTTTGAGAGCCCTAAAACGACTTTGAGAGCCCTAAAACGACTTTGAGAGCCCTAAAACGACTTTGAGAGCCCTAAAACGACTTTGAGACACCTCCAGTCCTGAAATCAGGACCCCCAAAAGGAGTTTCACCACCCCTAAAAAGGGTTTGAAGACCCCCAGGCCGAGATTTGGGGACCTCAAGGTCACCTGAAGCTGCCAAAAATCCCTTTAAAGAGTCCCAAAATCGGGTTGTGGGGACCCTTCCCCCCACAAAACGAGTTTGAGACCCCCTGAAATTAATTTGGAGGACCCCTCCCCCCACAAATCAATTTGAGGACCCCCCAAAATGTGAAGGACCCCCCAAATCTCAAACAAGTTTGAGACCCCCCCCCAAAATGAGTTTGAAATGGGTTGAAAGCCCCACAGATTGCTCTGAGAGCCCTCGGGGGTCTGAGGGGGGGTCTCTTTTTGTCCCCCAATCCCCCCAGTTGAAGTCCCTGGGGGGTCTCTGTGTCCCAGTACCCCCAGTTGCAGGCGGTGGCCCTGGCCCAGTGTCACCAGTTCCTGGAGGAGCTGGCCAAACTGGGCAGCTCCTGTGTCCTGGACGCCTGTGCCGAGCAGCACAACCTCAGCCAGCAGGTGGGGAGGGGGATTTTGGGGGGGCTCAGGGTGTCCTGGGGGCTTGGGGGGCCTCAGGGGTTCAGGGTCTCTGGGGGTTTTGGGGGGTTTCATCAGTTTTGGGATCTCTGGGGCCTTTGGGGTCTTTGGGGGCTTCAGGGCTTGTGGGGTCTCTGTGGTCTTTGGGGGCTTTATGGGCTTCAGGGATTTGGGGGGTCCCTGTGCCCCATTTGGGGTGTCCCTTTGGCCCCATTTGAGGGGTCCTTGTGCCCCCATTTGGGGTGTCCCTTTGGCCCCATCTGGGGGTCCCTGTACCTCATCTGGGGTATCCCTTTGGCCCCATTTGGGGGGTCCCTTTGGCCCCATTTGGGGGGTCCCTGTGCCCCATTTGGGGGGTCCCTGAGCCCCCCATAACCCCGTACCCCCCCTTGGCAGCTGCTGCCCAAACACTGCGCCGCCACCATCAGCAGAGCCCGCGGGAAGAAGACCCCAAAACAGCCCCCCAAAAAGGGGGAGCCCGAGAGGGACAAACCGGGCACGGAGAGCCAGAGGAGGGACAGGACCCTCACCACCAAGTGAGGGCCACCTGGGGACAAGGGGGACACTGGGGTGGGTACAAGGGGGATTGTCCCATAGGGGTCGGTGGCCACCAGGCCTGGGGTGTGGTGGCCACGGGGGGGATGGACATGGTGTGATGGGCCCTGTGGGGGCTGGAGGGCTGGGGGTTGGTGGCCACCAGGGGCTGGGGGTGGGCTACAGTGTCATGTGACTGTCCCTGTGGGGTCACAGATTGTCCTGGTGGGACATGAATTGTCCCCATGGGTCACAGATGATCCCCATGGGTCACAAATGGTCCCTATGGGTCACAGATTGTCCCCACGGGACACAAATTGTCCCTGTGGGACATGGATTGTCCTGGTGGGTCACAGATTGTCCTGGTGGGACACAGATGGTCCTGGTGGGTCACAAATTGTCCCTGTGGGTCACAGATGGTCCCCACGGGTCACAAATGGTCCCTGTGGGACATGGATTGTCCTGGTGGGACACAGATTGTCCCCATGGGTCACAGATTGTCCCCATGGGTCACAAATGGTCCCTGCAAGACAGGGATTGTCCCCATGGGTCACAGATGGTCCCCATGGGTCACAAATGATCCCAATGGGACACAGATTGTCCTGGTGGGACACAGATGGTCCTGGTGGGTCACAAATTGTCCTGATGGGACACAGATGGTCCCCACGGGTCACAAATGTTCCTCATGGGTCACAGATGATCCCCATGGGTCACAAATTGTCCCCATGGGTCACAGATTGTCCCCACAGGACACAGATTGTCCCCGTGGGATACAGATTGTCCCCATGGGACACAGATGGTCCTCATGGGTCACAAATTGTCCCCATGGGTCACAAATGGTCCCTGTGAGACAGGGATTGTCCCTGTAGGGTCCCAGATTGTCCCTGTGGGGTCCCAGCCTGGCTGACACCCCCGTGTGTGCCCCCCCTCTGCTCCCCCCAGCCTGGACAAGCTGCAGGTGACCCTGTCCGAGCTGTCCCTGAGCCTCAACCACGTCCCCACCATCACCGTGTTCGGGCACACCCTGAGCCCGGCCGAGTACCTGAGCAGCCACCTGGAGACCCGGCTCACCAGGTGGGGACACCCTGGGGACACTGAGGGGCTGGGGGGGACACCCCCAGAGCCCCACTGAGACCCCTGAGTCCCCCAGAGCCCCTCCCAGAGCTCCCCTGAGACCCCCAGAGCTCCCAGAGCTCCCAGAGCCACCCAGAGCTCCCCAGAGCTCCCCTGAGCTCTTGGAGCCCCTCAGAGCTCCCCAGAGCTCCCAGACACTCCCAGAGCCCCCCATAAATCCCCCTGAGCCCCCCAGAATCCCCCAGAGCCCCCCAGAGCTCTCCTGAGCTCCCCTGAATCCCCCAGAGCTCTCCAGACCCTCCCAGAGCCCCCCCAGAGTCTTTCAGAGCCCTCCTGAGCTCCCAGAGCCCCCAGAGCCCCTCAGAGTCCCCCAGAGCTCCCAGAGCCACCCAGATCTTCCAGAGCTCCCCAGAGCTCCCCTGAGCTCTTGGAGCCCCCAGAGCCCTCAGAGCTCCCCAGAGCCCCCAGATCTTCCAGAGCCCCCAGACTCTCCCCAGAGCCCCCAGATCTCCCAGAGCTCCCAAGCCCCCAGACCCTCCCAGAGCCTCCCAGACCCCCTACCCCGAGCCCTCCAAGCGCTCCCCAAACCCCCAGACGCTCCCTTCTGCACCCCCAGAGCCCCCCAGAGCCCCCCATGCCGGGTGTCCCCGCAGGGCCATCGTGGCCATGGCCGGGCACAGCCCTGGCTCTCAGCAGCTGTGCCGTCCCTCCGAGGTGCTCGTGGGGCTCGGGGCCTACGCGGGGCTCGTGCAGCGCCTGGGGCGGCTCGTGGGGCTCGACACGGCCCGGCTGCTGCGGGGGGTGCTGCTGCAGCAGAGCCAGCCCCGGGACGGAGCGGGACAGCCCACCCTGACGGCCATCTACACCGACTGGTGGGTACTGGGGACAGCTGGGGACACCTGGGGACACCTGGGGACACCTGGGGACACCTGGGGACAGGGGGGATGGGGGGACAGCCCACCCTGACGGCTATTTACACCGACTGGTGAGTGCTGGGACTGCTGGGGTATTGGGGGATTGATTGGGACAGCCCACCCTGACAGCTATTTACACTGACTGGTGAGTGCTGGGACTGCTGGGGACAGCTGGGGACACCTGGGGTATGGGGTATGGGGTATGGGGGGATTGATTGGGACAGCCCAACCTGACCGCCATCTACACCAACTGGTGGGTGCTGGGACAGCTGGGGACACCTGGGGTATGGGGTATGGGGTATGGGGGGATTGATTGGGACAGCCCAACCTGACCGCCATCTACACCGACTGGTGGGTGCTGGGGCACCTGGGGACAGGGGGGGACAGCTGGGGACACCTGGGGAAAGGGGGATGGGGGGATTGATTGGGACAGCCCACCCTGACCGCCATCTACACCGACTGGTGGGTGCTGGGACAGCTGGGGACACCTGGGGTATGGGGTATGGGGGGATTGATTGGGACAGCCCACCCTGACCGCCATCTACACCGACTGGTGGGTGCTGGGACAGCTGGGGACACCTGGGGACAGCTGGGGACACCTGGGGACACCTGGGGTATGGGGGGACAGCCCACCCTGACCGCCATCTACACCGACTGGTGGGTACTGGGGACAGCTGGGGACACCTGGGGACACCTGGGGACACCTGGGGTATGGGGGATTGATTGGGACAGCCCACCCTGACCGCCATCTACACCGACTGGTGGGTGCTGGGACAGTTGGGGACAGCTGGGGTATGGGGGGACAGCCCATCCTGACCGCCATCTACACCGACTGGTGGGTGCTGGGACACCTGTGGGATGGGGGGACAGCCCACCCTGACCGCCATTTACACTGACTGGTGGGTGCTGGGGACACCTGGGGACAACTGGGGACACCTGGGGTATGGGGGGACAGCCCACCCTGACAGCCATCTACACCGACTGGTGGGTGCTGGGGACACCTGGGGACAGGGGGGTGTGGGGGTTGTGGGGGGACAGCCCACCCTGACCGCCCTCTGCACAGACTGGATCCCATGGGTCCCATCCCACTTATCCCATCCCAAGGATCCTATTGCCATGAGTCCCATTCCCACGGATCCCATTCCTATGGATCCCATTCCCATGGATCCCATTTCCACGGATCCCATCCCATGGGTCCCATTCCCATGCATCCCATCCCATGGGTCCCATCACCACGAGTCCCATTCCCTGGCACCACCCGTGCCGTGGGTCCCATTCCCATGTGTCTTATTCCACGGCTCCCATTCCCACTGCTCCCATCCCATGGACCCCATCCCCACTGCTCCCATCCCCGGGGGTCCCACATGTCCCATCCCAGGGCTCCCATCCCTGGGGTATCCCACATGTCCCATCCCTACATGTCCCACCCCATGGACCCCATCCCCACATGTCCCATCCGGGTGTCTCACATGTCCCATCCCCATGTGTCCCAACCCTGGGATATCCCACGTGTCCCATTCCCACTGCTCCCATCCCATGGAACCCATCCCCACAGCTCCCATTCCCGGGGGTCCCACATGTCCCACCCCCACTGCTCCCATCCCCACGTGTCCCATCCCCACCGTCCCATCCCTGGTGGTCCCACATGTCCCACCCCCCCGTGTCCCGTCCCTGGTGGTCCCACATGTCCCACCCCCCTGTCTCCCATCCCTGGTGGTCCCACATGTCCCACCCCCATGTCCCATCCCTGGTGGTCCACATGTCCCACCCCCTGTCTCCCATCCCTGGTGGTCCCACATGTCCCACCCCCCCATGTCCCATCCCTGGTGGTCCCACATGTCCCATCCCCACCATCCCATCCCTGGTGGTCCCACATGTCCCACCCACCCCTGTCTCCCATCCCTGGTGGTCCCACATGCCCCATTCCCCCTGTCTCCCATCCCTGGGTATCCCACATGTCCCACCCCCTGTCTCCCATCCCTGGTGGTCCCACATGCCCCATTCCCCCCGTGTCCCATCCCTGGTGGTCCCACATGCCCCATTCCCCCTGTCTCCCATCCCTGGTGGTCCCACATGCCCCATTCCCCCTGTCTCCCATCCCTGGTGGTCCCATGTCCCATTCCCCTGTCTCCCATCCCTGGTGGTCCCACATGTCCCATTCCCCCTGTCTCCCATCCCTGGTGGTCCCACATGTCCCACCCCCCCTCCCAGGTACCTGGAGTCCCTGCTGCGCGTGCCAGTCGGTTCCATCGTGGTGGCCCCGGCCCTGCAGGCGTTCAGCACCGTGCCCTGCGAGGAGCAGCCGCCCTTCAGCGCCGCTGAGTTCTCTGACGTCTCAGGTGGGGGCTCTGGGGATCCCTGGGGGAGCTCAGGGGGGGTGTCAGGGCGGTGTCACCCACCCCGTGTGTGTCCCCCCCTCCATCCCCAGAGATGCGGGCGCTGGCCGAGCTCATCGGGCCCTACGGGATGAGGTTCCTGAGTGACAACCTGATGTGGCACGTGGGGTCCCAGGTGACAGAGCTGAAGGTGAGGGGGTGGGCATGGGACAGGGGGTGGGGATGGGATCAGGAGTGGGAAGTCAGGGTGGAATGAGGTGGGAGTGGGGACAGGATCAGGGGGTGGGAACAGGGGTCAGGGAGGTGGGGATGGGGTTGGAGGTTGGGGACGGATCGGGGAGTGGGGAGAGGGATCAGGGGTGGGATGGGGCTGGGCAGTGAATGGGATCAGGGGGCTGGGGACAGGATCAGGGGGATGGGGATGGGATCAGGGGATGGGGATGGGGTCAGGGGTTGGGGACAGGATCAGGGGTTGGGGACAGGATCAGGGGGTGGGGACAGGATCAGGGGTGGGAATGGGGTCAGGGAGGTGGGGAACGGGATCAGTGGGGTGGGGATGGGGTCAGGGGGTGGGAATGGGGTCAGGGGGTGGGAGTGGGGACAGGGCGGTGGGGATGGGATCAGGGGGGTGGGAGTGGGGTCAGGGACTGGGGATGGGAATGGGACAAGGGGATGGGATGGGATCAGGGGTGGGAATGGGGTCAGGGGTGGGGATGGGGTCAGGGTTGGGGACAGGATCAGGGGTGTGGGGACAGGATCAGGGGTTGGGGACAGGATCAAGGGGTGGGAATGGGGTCAGGGTTGGGGACAGGATCAGGGGGGTGAGGACAGGGGATGGGATCAGGGAGAGGGGTCAAGGCACAGGGAGCAGGGTTGGGGGGCTGGAAACGGGAACGGGCGGACTGGGAATAGGATCAGGGGTCTGGGGACAGGATGGGGGGCGCTGTCCCAGTGCCACCAGTGCCACCGTGCCACCAGTGCCACCGGCGCCGTGTCCCCGCAGAAACTGGTGGCAGAGAACATGGACACGCTGGTGCAGCTGCGCTGCTGCAGGGCCGAGCAGAGAGCGGGGCTGGTGACACGGCTGAGCTGTGAGTGGGGGGACACACGTGGGACACACACATCACACATGTCCCACCCGTGTCACCCACCCGTGTCCCACCCGTGTCCCACGCGTGTCCCCAGCGGCCGAGAACGTGCTGAAGCGCATGACGATCATCGGGGAGATCCTGACCTTCCGCGCCATGGCCCAGCAGGGCCTGCGCCAGGTGGGACCCCCGGGGGACCCCCAGCCCCCCTCCACCCCCAGGGCTCAGGACCCCCCTGACAATCCCCCACCCTTCCCAGGTGTTCTCCCAGCGCTGCCCCTTCCTGATGGGCCCCATCGAGGGTCTCACCGACATCGTCACCCCCGACACCGACATCCAGGTGGGGACAAGGGGGAGGGGGGGACACAGGGGGGTCTGGGCTGGCCCTGCCGTGTCACCTGGCACGGGGTGGCATCCCCTGGTCCCTCCTGTGTGTGTGTGTGTGTCACCCCCCCCCAGGTCACCCTGAGCATCTTCGAGGTGGCCTCGGCCGCCGGGATCCCCTGCGAGGTCGACCCCGCTCTGGTCAACGTGCTGGGGGGGGCCCGGATGGGTACGGGGGTGCTGGGGACACTGGGGGGCTGCCCCTGTCACCTGGAACCCCCTTGGGGACCGTGGGGGGCTGTCCCTGTCACCTGGAACCCCCCTGGGGACAGTGGGGACACTGGGGGGCTGTCCCTGCCACCTGGGACACCCTGAGCCCCCTGTCACCTCCCTGGTCCCCATATCCCCACGTGTCCCCCTGTGTCCCCTGTCCCCACAGAGGGCTCGTCCCCAGAGGAGGATTACAAGGTGTCCTGCCTGCTCCTGGTGTTCGTGGCCGTGTCCCTGCCCCTCATGGCCACCGACCCCGCCGCCCTCTACAACCCTGAGCTGGACGGTGAGGCCTGGCCCTGTGTCCCTGTGTCCCCTTGTCCCAGTGTCCCCTTGTCCCAATGTCCCTCTGTCCCAATGTCCCTGTGTCCCCTTGTCCCCTTGTCCCAATGTCCCTGTGTCCCAATGCCCCTGTGTCCCCTTGTCCCCTTGTCCCTGTGTCCCCATGTCCCAGTGTCCCCCTGTCCCCATCATCTTCCTGTGTCCCCAACCTTCCTTCATCCCCAACCTCTGCCCCCCAACCCACTTTACGTCCCCAATTGGTGCCCCCAACCCCGTGTCCCCAACCCACCTATGCCCCCAACCCACCCTGTGTCCCCAAACCTCATCCCAAACCCACCCTGTGTCCCCAGCTGGTGTCCCAAACACCCTTCCCGTGTCCCCAACCTTCCTTCACCCCCTCCCTGTGCCCTCCCCGTGTCCCCAACACCGTCCCGTGCTCTCAACCTTCCCGTGTCCCCAACCTTTCCTCACCCCTCCATGGTGTCCCTGACCCTGTCCCCATGTCCCTGACCCTGCCCCCGTGTCCCTGACCCTGCCCCTGTGTCCCTGACCCTGTCCCCTCTGTCCCCAGGGTACAACAACAACCTGCACTGCCTGGCCAAGGCCGTGGTCCAGGTCTCGGCCGCCCTGTTCACCCTCCACAACAAGAACATCGAGAGCCACCTCAAGGAGTTCCTACTGGTGAGAACCCCCTTGGGGGGGTCCCTGTGCCCCTGAGGGGGTCCCTGTGCCCCTGGGGGGGTCCCTGTGCCCTCAGCCCTGACAGGGACTGTCCCCAGTTGGCCTCCTCGAGCCTCCTGCAGCTGGGCCAGGAGCCCGACAAGGGCAGGGTGAGGAACCGCGACTCCATCGCCCTCCTGCTGCAGATGGTGAGGGGCTGGGGGGCTCCTGGGGGGGCTCCTGGGGGGGCTCAGCCCACGTGGGGTGATCAGGGTGGGCTCTGGGGTGACCCAGGATGGGCCGTAGGGTGGGAGTGGCCCTGGGGGTCCCACCTAGGGGGGGCTCTGGGGTGACCCTGGGTGGGTTGTGAGGTGTCCGTGCAGGTGCATGCCCTGGGTGTGAACATCATCCCCAAACTCCATCCCCCATCCCCTGAGCTCCATCCTCCCAAACTCCATCCCCCCATCCCCCCCAAACTCCATCCCTCCATCCCCCTGAGCTCCATCTCCCTAAGCTCCATCCCCATCCCCCAGACTCCATCCCCTGCATCCCGCTGCTGACTCCATCGTGTCCAGGATGGGAGGCCGATCCAGTTCTGACCCCCAGGCTGGTCTCGTGCAGCGATGCAGGGAAGGGGAGGGTCACGCACATCCCTCCCCTCCCTCCCCTCCCCACCCTCGATTGTCATTCCAGGAGCGCCCGGGCGGCCAAACCAATTTAAATGCAAATATTTCAATCCGGAGGAGCCGGGGCGGGGCAGGGCAGGGAGAGGGTGACGGGGTGGGAGGGGGTGTTCTGATGATGTCCTTCCCCCTCGGGATAGATCGTGGCCGAGTCGTCCTTCCTGACGCTGGACATGTTGGAGAGCTGCTTCCCCTACGTCCTGCTGCGCAACGCCTACCGCGAGTGTGCCGGGAGGAGCCTGCCCAGGGCCCCCCGCACTGAGAGACCCCTCCCAGAGCCTGCCGACCCCCTCAGACCCCCCGCACTGAGAGACCCCCAGAGCCCGCTGACCCCCTCTCAGACCCTACCCCCTGCACTGAGAGCCCCCAGAGCCCGCTGACCCCTCCTCAGAGCCCCCACCCACCCTGAGACCGACCCCTCCCCAGAGCCCGCTGACCTCCTCAGACCCCTGACCTCCCCTTAGAGCCCCGACCTGACACTGACCCCCCCTCAGACCTGCTCCCACCCCGCACTGAGAGCCCCCCTCAGAGCCCACTGACCCTCCTCAGACCCCACCCCGCACTGAGAGACCCCTCCCCAGAGCCCATCTGACCCCTCCCAGACCCTTCCCGCAGAGACCTCCCCCCAGAGCCCCCTGACCCCTGACCCCCGACCTCCCCCTCAGACCCCCGACCTGACCGACCCCCCTCAGACCTGCTAAACCACCCCCTGCACTGAGAGACCCCCAAAGAGCCCACCGACCCCCCTCAGAACCCCCGCACTGAGAGACCCCGGCCCACTGAGCCCTCGTAGACCTCCCTGCTGAGACCCGCCAGCCCGCCGACCCCCTTAGACCCCTGACCTGACCGACCACCCCTCAGACCCCCTCACTGAGAGCCCCCAGAGCCCACTGGCCCCCTTTGGACCCCCTGACCCGACCGACCCCTCCTAGACCTCCCAAACCGCCCCCGCACTGGTGACCCCCTCAGAGCCCACCGACCACCCGTTCAGACCCCCCAACACGACCCTCGCCACGCCCCCAAAAACTCCCAATTCGCTCCCCCGGCACCCCGCGCCCCCCACTCCAAGTGTCCCCCCCAAACTCCGGTGCTCATCCCGGGATAAATTCGGGGTCCGGGGTGGGGGTCCCAGATGCGACGGTGCCGAATTCCCAGCGGGATTTCCCTCCCGGGGGGCTGAGAGGGGTTTTTTTGGGGGGTCGTGCCTCGATCTCTGTCTGTGTCCCCCATTTTTCCCCCTCCTCGTTCCTTTTCCCGGGGGAGAATTCCCGGGCCGGGAGCGGCCCTTGCCATTCCACGCACGGCCGTGTCCGCTCGGGGATGAGTCACCGGCGGCCGCCGCGGCCTCGACCCCCCTTAAACCCCCCAAACCACCGAGACCCCTGAACCCTACCCACCCACCAGGGCTGGAGGAGCCTCAGGCAGCGAAATCCTTTAAAAACCCCATTAAAAAAACATCAAATCCCGCTAAAAATCCCACCCAAAATCCACCCCACGCCCGGGAGGGTGGGGGTGTGGAATTCGAACCCTCCCCCTTCCTCAATTAACGCCTGATGCTTCCAAGTCTATTTTGGCGCTCGTCAATCAGGGAATTAAAATCGGGAACGAGCTCCTTTGTCTCGCGCGCGCCCACCCGGCCCTGCCCACGCCCACCCCACGGGGGGCCACCCTTCTGCCCACCCCCTTAAAGCTGGAGGACCCTAAAACGAGTTGGGGACCCCCAAAAGCGGTTGGAGGACCCCAAAATGAGTTCGAGGAACCCCAAAATGAATTTGAGGACCCCCAGAATGAGATTAAGGACCCCCCCAAAAAAAGGGGTTCGAAGACCCCCCCAAAAAGGAGCTCAAGGACTACAAAATCAGTTTGTGGACCCCAAAATGAATTTGAGGACCCCCCCCCAAAAAAAAAATGGAGCTTGAGGACCCCCCAAAAGGAGCTCGAGGAGCCCCGAATAAGTTTGTGGATCCCAAAATGAGCTCGGGGACCCCAAAAGCCGTGGGAGGGACCCCCCAAAATCAGCTCGAGGAGCCCGAAATGAATTTGAGGACCCCCCCCAGAATGAGAGCGAGGACCCCCAAAATCAGTTTAAGGGCCACCCCCCCCAAATTTGTTTGAGAGCCCCAAAACGGGGTTGGAGGATCCCGAAATTACTTTGATGACCCCAAAATTGAGCTCGAGACCCCCCCCAAAATGAGTTTGGGGACGCCCCCAGTCAGTTTGGGAATCTCAAAATGAGATCGAGGACTCCCCAAATTCGTTCCAGACCCCCCCAAAATGAGCAGTTTGAGGCCCCCCAAGGTCCCGGGGGGTCCTGATTGGGGTGAGGGGACAGGGGGGGTCCCACATGGAGGGTTGGGGGGTCCCTGAGGGTCTCGGGGGGTCCCTGAGGATCTCAGGGGTCCTGATTGGGGGTGAGGGACGGAGGGACCATGGAGGGTTGGGGGTCCCGAGAGTCCCAGGGGTCCTGACAGGGGTGGGGAAAGGGGCTCCCCAAAGTCCCAAGGGGTGGTGACAGGGATGGGGGACAGGGGGTCCCACATCGAGGGTTGGGGGTCCCTGAAGGTCCCGGGGGTCCTGACAGGGTGGGGGACACGAAGGGTCCCTGAAGGTCCTAGGGGTCCCGACCCCCGCGCTGCCAGAGGGGACAGAGTGGGAGCCGGGGGAGCTCGAGGGTGTCCCGGGGTGGGGGCTCACCTGGCCCCCGGCGGTGCCGAGGTGGGCGCGGCCCCACCCCCTCGTTACATAAAGGGTTATTAATATTCCTCAGGGGCCGCGCACTCCACGTGCTGGGGGTGGGGGATCGGAGGGGTCTGACACCCAACAACCCCACGGGGCCTGCAGAGCCACGGGGGCTCCGAGGGACACTGTGGGGTGGGGTGGGGGTCCGTGGGGCAGGGGAGTTGGGTTTAGGGGGCAGGAGATGTGGGGTTCACGGGGCAGGGGGTTGGGGGTGTCCACGGGGCAAGAGGGGTCGTGGGGCAGGGGGTGTGGGGCAGGGTTTGGGGGTTCATGGGGCAGAGGGTGCAGCCCCCCGGGTTTGGGTAGGTCCTACAATAGCGCGGGGTGACCCTGACCCCCGAGGGGCAGGAGGGGACGGTCAGGGGGCCGGGGACAAACGGGGCAGGGGGCCGGGGCTAGGGGGCCCAGGGACACCCCCACAGCCCACCCTGGGGGGGTCCCGGGGCACCCGACCCCATAACCCCCTCAGGGGGGTCGTGGGGGTCATGACCCCCCCCCTAGAGCTCCGTGAGGGCCTGGGGTGCCCCCCGGGGGGGTCTGGGGTGGACCCCAACAGGGGGCCTTGGGGTAAGACCCCTGCTGCTCTATGGGGGTCCTGGGGTGCCCCCCCAAAACTTGGGGTACAGCCCCAGCTCCAGAGGGGTCCTGGGGTGTCCCCCAATAGGGGTCTTGGGGTACGACCCCTGTAGCTCCAGAGGGGTCCTGGGGCACGACCCCTGTAGCTCCAGAGGGGTCCTGGGATGTCCCCCCCTCCACAAGCCCTAGCGGACCCTCCTCTCCCGGGGGGTCCCGCACACCTCCCTCCCTCCTTCCCTCCCTCCCTCCTTCCCTCCCTCCCCTCGGGGTCCCGGAGCTGCACGGGGAAGGGGGTGCTAGGCCGACCCTCTCGTCTCCCCCGCCCCCGGCTCCCCCGCCCCTCCCCGCCCGCCGGGGCCAGGGCCGGGGCTCGGGGAAACTTGCGGCGAACCCCGGGAGGGGAGGCAGAGCCGGCGGCGTCGGGGGGTGTTTGGTGGCGGGGAGGGGGGGGACACACACACACACACCGGGCACGGCGGCACCGGCGGCACCGGGACACGGCACCGGCAGCACCGGGACACGGCACCGGCAGCACCGGCGCTCCCCGGCCGAGCATCCCCCGGTAGGAGCGCGCAGCATCCCCGCTGCCCCCTCCCCAATCCCGCTTCTCCCGCGTCTCCCCTTCCCGGTTCCTTCCCCTCCCAGCGCTTCTCTGCCCATCCCCGGCGCTCCTTTCCCGTTTCTCCCCATCCCCGGTGCTTCCTTTCCCGGTTCCTTCCCCTCCCAGCGCTTCTCTCCCCCATCCCCGGTGCTTCCCCTTTGCCGGTTCTCCCCATCCCCTCTTCTCTCCCGGTTCCTTCCCCCCTTCCCGGCGCTCCCGGCCCTCCCTCCGCGGCTCCCCGAGCTCCCGGTTCTCCCCATTCCCGGCGCTCCCACCCCCGGTGCGCGGATCCATCTTGGCTCCGGTGCTGCCTGCGCAGCCGCCGGTACCGGCGGGCTCGGGGAGGGGAGCTGCGGGGAGGTTACCGGGGCTTTGGGGACCCTCGGGAGGCACCGGGGACCGGGAACGGTGCCGGGGAGGGGGCTACGGCAGCTCCGCGGGCCTCGGGAAGCGCCGGCGCCGCCGGTACCGGGGCCGCAGGGGCACCGGGGCACCGGGGTACCCGGGGATCGGGGAGCACCGATGGGTACCGGGTATTACGGGGAGCTCCGGGGATGCAGGAGGCACTGGGGGTGCAGGAGGCACCGGGGGGTGCTGCGGGAAGCGCCGGGGTTAGGAGAGCACCGGGAGCTACTGGTGGTACCGGGAGCTACTGGTGGTCGCGGAGGGGGGGGCTCCGGGAGCCGCTCGGCCGCGTTCTCCCCCCCTTCCCCCGGGGCTGAGCCGCGTTCCCCCGGTACCCCAGGGGCGATGGAGCCGCCGCGGAGCCTCCCGGGGCTGGAGCGGGAGCGGGGGGCGCTGGACGCGGCCGGAGGGTGCCCGTCCCCCCTGGACACCAAGGCCGTGCCCGGCAGGAAGATTTGGGTCAAGCTGCGGGCGTTGTGAGTGACCCCCTCCCCTCCCGATCCCCCCGGGTCGGGACCCCCCAGAACGGGACCCCCAAAGTGCAGATTGAGAGCCCTAAAGAGGGACCCCCAAACCGGGGCATGACCCCCTAACCAGGACCCCCAAAATGCAGACTGAGAACCCTAAAGAGGGACCCCCAAACCAGGACATGACCCCCTAACCAGGACCCCCAAAGTGCAGACTGAGAACCCTAAAGAGGGACCCCCAAACCCCCAAACAGGGGCATGACCCCCTAATTGGGATCCCCAAACCCCAAACTGAGACCCTCCCTGACTGGGACCCCCAAACAGAGACCACCTCCCCAAAGAGGACCCCCAAACCAGGGCATGACCCCCTAACTGGGACCCCCAGACCCTAAACTGAGACCCCCTAACTGGGACCCCCAAACTGGGGCACCACTCCCAAACTGAGACCCCTCCCAAACTGGGACCCCCAAACCCTAAACTGGGACCCTGCAGCCCCAAACTGGGACCCCCAAATCAGGACCTCTGAGCCCCCTGACAACCCCATTTAGAGACCCCCATCCTCCTCTAAGAGTCCCCCCAATTCCCCCCTCCCCGTCCCCCCACTCAGGACCCTCTGGAACCTTCAGCTGCCCCCTGGGGACCCCCCATGGGTGTCCCCAACCCTCTTTGTGGGACCCCCTGCACCACCACACCCCCTTTGGGGTGGGGCACCGGGACCCCTGAGGATGCTGGGGGAATTTAGGGGACCCCAAAGTCCCCTCAGTTGGGGTGGGGGGCGTGGGTGACACCGTGTGACATCCCCTGGGGTGCCCCTTGTGCCTCCCTCCGTCCCTCCCCGGGGTGCCACCCCACCTGTGCCACCCCTCACCTGTGCCACCCCCTCACCTGTGCCACCGGCGGCTCACGTGGCCCCCGCGCCCACCTGCAGGCACGTGCCGCGTGTGGGGGTCCCAGGGGCCACACGTGCCTGGGGGAGCACGCGTGTGCACACGTGTGTGGGGGTCCCGTGTCACTGCACACCGTGGGACACGCTAAGCCAGGGCTGGGCAGAGGCTGGGGAGGCACGCACGAGTGGGGAGGGGAGGGGGTACTCTGAAGCCCCCTGTATCCCCCCACCCCACTCCCCCGTTCCAGGGTGCTGGTGGGGGATCCCCAGGGTGGGGGTCAAAGGGGACACCCCGGGGGTCCCTAAAACCCTCCCTGAGACCCTCCCTGGGCGTGGGGTGGTGGCCCTGGGGACACGGGGGTGACAGGCACCCACCTGGAAGGTGACACGGCCCCACCCTCCTCCCTTGTCCCCACGAGTGACACTGGGGTCCCCCGTGGCGGTGCCACCGAGGGTAGGGGGTCGCAGGGGGTGGGGGTCCCCAAGATGGGGGTCTCAGGGGGTGGCTGTCCCCAGGGTGGGGGTCCCTGCCCGTGGCTGTCCCCAGGGTGAGTGGCCGTGCGCGGGGAGGTGACAGTCGCCCTCCCCAAGGTCACAGCCGCGCTGGCTCCCAGCGTGACGTCTGAGCCCCCCTGGCCCCCCCTCCCCCCGTCCCCCTCGCTGTCACCGTCACTGTCACCGTGACAGGGGCGCGCCGTGGCCCCTCCCCACCCTGCGGCTCCGGGAGGGGGGCACGTCCGAGGGCCCCGTGTCCCCTGCTGTCACCTCCCCGTGTCCCCTGCTGTCACCTCCCCGTGTCCCTCACTGTCACCTCCCCGTGTCCCCTGCTGTCACCTCCCTGTGTCCCCTGCTGTCACCTCCCCGTGTCTCCCGGTGCAGTGGTCAGTGGGCACTGCCAGGGACCTGTTGGGCACTGGTGGCAGTGACGAGTCCTCCGGGAGGGGACACGGTGGCTCAGCTGGCCCGGGACAGGGACCTGTGCCATCCTGTGCCATCCCGTGTCACTCTGTGCCACTCTGTGCCTTCCTGTGCCGCCATCCTGTGTCACTTCGTGCCATCAGTGCCACCAGTGCCACCCGTGCCATCCTGTGCCACCTCATGTGCCACCTCACCTGCACTGTGCCATCACCCTGCCACCCAGTGCCACTCCTGTGCCATCCTGTGCCATCGATGCCGTCTGTGCCATCCCGTGCCATCCTGTGCCATCAATGCCATCAGTGCCACCAGTGCCACCCGTGCTGTCCTGTGCCACCTGTTGTCACTTCACGCTGCCTGTACCATCCCCTGTCACCCTGTGCCACCCGTGCCATCCCGTGCCAACTGCGCCATCTCGTGCCATTCTGTGCCAACAGTGCCATCAGTGCCACCTGTGCCATTGACGCCATCTGTGCCATCCTGTGCCACCCCATGTCTCTCTGTGCCACCCATGCCATCGATGCCACCTGTGCCATCCCGTACCATCCTGTGCCATTGATGCCATCCTGTGCCAACAGTGCCATCAGTGCCATCAGTGCCATCTGTGCCATCCCGTGCCATTGATGCCACCTGTGCCATTGATGCCACCTGTGCCATCCTGTGCCATCGATGCCACCTGTACCATCGATGCCACCTGTGCCATCCTGTGCCATTGATGCCACCTGTGCCATCCTGTGCCATCCCGTGCCACCCGTGCCACCGGTGCCGCTCCGTTCCCCCCGTGCCAACTGTGCCATCGACGCCACCTGTGCCACCCCACGTCTCTCTGTCCCAGCCCCCACAACCCCCCCCCCGGTTCCGTCTGTGCCATCTGTGCCACCCCCCGTGTGCCAGCGAGGCGGGGGTGGCACATCCCAGGCGGACAGATGGGCACCCCCCACCCCCCAAAATCCCCCCCCCCTCAGACTCGGGGACACCAACGCTCGTGGTGGCTGCACACGAGGGTGGCACGTGGGGGGGGTCCTGATGCCCATCCCGGGGGTCCAGTCCCCTGTCCCCTCCCCGGGGGTCCATAACACCCCATGCCCATTCTGGGGGGGTCCATTGACACCCTGTCCCCTCCCCGGGGGTCCATAACACGCTGTCCCCACGGGGGGGGTCGTTCTCTGCTGTCCCTGGGGGTCCCTAACACCCAGCACCCATCCTGGGGGGTCCCTGACACCCCATCCCCATCCTGGGGGTCCCTGACACCCCGTCCCCATTTTGGGGGGTCTGTAACACCCTATCTCCACCCTGGGGGTCCCTGACACCCCGTGCCCACCCCGGGGGTCCCTGACACTGCTGCCCCCATTCCTAGGGGGTCCATGACACCCCGTGCCCACCTCTGGGGGTCCCTGACACTCCATCCCCACTCTGGGGGGTCTGTAACACCCTGTGCCCATTCTGGGGGTTCTGTGACACCTCATGCCCACCCCGGGGGTCCCTGACACCCCATCTCCATCCTGGGGGGTCCCTGACACCCCGTGCCCACCTCGGGGGTCCCTGACACCCCATCTCCATCCTGGGGTGTCCATAACACCCCGTGCCCACCTCGGGGGTCCCTGACACCCCATCCCCACTCTGGGGGTTCTGTAACACCCCTGCCCACTCTGGGGGTCCGCACCCCTGCCCCTGGGGTCCTGACACGTCTCCTCGCGCGGGGGCAGGGGAGGGTCCCCACCTTCGCCCACCCCAGGCTGCGGTACCTGGTGAAGCAGCTGGACTCGGGCGAGCTGAACGTGGAGGAGCTCAAGAGGAATTTGGAATACGCGGCCTCGCTGCTCGAGGCCGTTTACATCGACGAGACCAGGTGGGGTGGGGGGCACTGTGGGGAGCAGGGGGGTGGTCTCAGCCTGGATCTGAGTCCCCCCGCCCCCCCGGGACCCTCAGGCAGGTGCTGGACACGGAGGACGAGCTGCGGGAGATGGGCTCGGACGCGGCGGTGCCGTCCGAGGTGCGGGACTGGCTGGCGGCCACGTTCACGCAGCAGGCGCGGGCCAAGGGGCGCCGGGCAGAGGAGAAACCCAAGTTCCGCAGCATCGTCCACGCCGTGCAGGCGGGAATCTTCGTGGAGAGGTGGGGATGGACCCCCCGGGAATGCCCGCGTTGGGGGGGGAGGGAGCTGAGGAGAGGAGGAGGAGGGGCGATGCTCAGGATGCAGGGGGTGGTCCCCAGCGGCTCAGGGAGTGTCCCCAGCACAAAGGGGGGGTCCCCCAATACCCAGGGACTGTCCCCAGCCCCCAGGGGGGGTCCCCCAGTGCCCAAGGGGGTCCCCCAGCGGTCAGGTAGTGTCCCCAAATCCAGGGAGTGTCCCCAGCACCAAAGGGGGGTCCTCAGTGCTCAAGGGGGTTCCCCAGCACCCAGGTGGGTCCCCTCATACCAGGGATTGTCCCCAGCACCCAGAGGGGCCCCCCAGTAGCCAGGGAGTGTCCCCAGCCCCCAGGAGGGTCCCTCAGAGCCCAGGTGGGTCCCTCAATACCCAGGGACTGTCCCCAGCACCAAGGGGGGTCCCCCAGTGCCCAAGGGGGTCCCCCAGTGGTCAGGGAGTGTCCCCAAGTCCAGGGAGTGTTCCCAGCACCAAAGGGGGTCCCCCAGGGGTCAGGGAGTGTCCCCAGCCCCCAGGAGGGTCCCTCAGAGCCCAGGTGGGTCCCTCAATACCCAGGGACTGTCCCCAGCACCAAGGGGGGTCCCCCAGTGCCCAAGGGGGTCCCCCAGTGTGTCCCCAGCCCCCAGGAGGGTCCCTCAGAGCCCAGGTGGGTCCCTCAATACCCAGGGACTGTCCCCAGCACCAAGGGGGGTCCCCCAGTGCCCAAGGGGTCCCCTGGATATCCAATACCCAATGACCCTGCCCACATCCAGGGACTGTCCCCAGCAGCCAGCAGGGTCCCCGTTGCCCACGTGGGTCCCCAAACACCCAGGGACTGTCCCCAGCCCCCCGGGGTAGGGGGGGGGTTCCCCAGCCGTGCCCCCCCAGCCCTCCCTCCTCCCCCAGGATGTTCCGCAGGACCTACACGGCCGTGGCACCGACCTATTCCACCTCCGTCCTCAACTGCCTGAAGGTACCCCCATACCCCGGGGGGGGTCACTGGGGATCCCTGGGCAGGGCTGGGGGGTCCAGCCCCCCCGCCTTGGCACCTCCCCCTTTGCCCCCCATCCTCCGCAGGGCCTCGATCTCTGGTGCTTCGACGTGTTCGCCCTGAACCGGGCGGCCGAGGATCACTCCCTGCGCACGGTCGTGTTCGAGCTCTTCACCCGCCACAACCTCAGCAGCCGCTTCAAGGTGGGCTCTCCCCACCCCTGCCCGCCCCTGTGCCCACCCCCAGACACCCCCTGATAACCCCAGACACCCTGACACACCTGGTACACCCTGGTCACCCCCGACAGCCCCTGATGACCCCCAGACACCTTCTGATGACCCCAGATACCCCTGGTAGCCCCCAAACATCCCCTGATGAACCCCAGATATCCCCAGACACCCCTGATTGACCCCCAAACATCCCCTGATGACCTCCAGACACCCTGGTAACCCCAGACACCCCCTGATGAACCCCAGACACCCCCAGACACCCCTGATGACCCCAGACACCCCCTGATGACCTCCAGACACCCCTGGTAACCCCCAGATACCCCTGGTAACCCCCAGATACCCCTGGTAACCCCCTAGACACCCCCTGGTGACCCCCAGACACCCCCTGATGACCCCCAGATACCCCCTGGTAACTCCCAGACACCCCCCATTAACACCCAGATATCCCCAGACACCCCCTGACAACCCCCAAACACCCCTGAGACGACCCCAGACACCCCCTGCCCACCTTTTACCCTCCCCATCCCTTCTCCCCTTCCCCAGATCCCCCCGAGCGCGTTCCTGACGTCGCGTGCTGGACGCCCTGGAAAGCGGCTACGGAAAGTTCCGGAACCCCTACCACAACCAGGTGCACGCGGCCGACGTCACCCAGACCGTGCACTGCGTCCTGCTGCGCACGGGAATGCTGGTAGGGACAGGGGGACACGAGGGACACGGGGGGACACGGAGGGCTCGAGGGGGGTCAAGGGAGGGTCCAGGTGATGCTCGTTGCCATGGAGACGCCCCAGGGGGATGGGGGTGACCCCCAGTGATGGGGGGCATGGGGTGGCATCGGGCTCTGGGGGGACACAGGGAGGGACACGTGGGGTGGGATGTGGCTTGGGGGTGGCACCTGTTGTCCCCACAGCTGTCACATGTGAGGTGGCACCTGGTATGGGTGTCCCCACAGCTGTCACATGTGTAGGGTGGCACCCGGTATGGGTGTCCCCACAGCTGTCACACACATGAGGTGGCACCTGCCACGCCCCTCTTGTCCCCAACACGGGTGTCCCCGGCCCTGTGGCGTGTCCCACGCGTGACCGTGCCCACACACACACACACACACACACACACCCCCCACGCGTGTCCCCCGTGCCCTGGCGGGGGTGGCACCGTCCCCGCCGTGTCCCCAGCACTGCCTGTCGGAGATCGAGCTCCTGGCCATCGTCTTCGCCGCCGCCATCCACGACTACGAGCACACGGGCACCACCAACAGCTTCCACATCCAGACCAAGTGAGGGGCACGGGGGACGTGGCGCGGTGTGGGTGACATGGCATGGCATGGCATGGTCTGGGTGACACAGCATGGCACGGGTGACATGGCATGGCATGGTCTGGTACAGCGTGGGTGACATGGCATGGCACAGCACGGTGTGGGTGACACAGCATGGCATGGGTGACGTGGCATGGCATGGTCTGGGTGACACAGCATGGCACGGATGACATGGCATGGCATGGCACGATATGGGTGACATGGCATGAAGTGGGTGACGTGGCACGGTGTGGCCCAGCATGGCATGGGTGACATGGCATGGCATGGTCTGGGTGACACAGCATGGCATGGGTGACACGGGCTGGCACGGCGTGGGTGACAGCAGGGTGAGGGTGACAATGCAGTGCAGGTGACAGGAGGGTGAGGGTGACAGCACGGTGAGGGTGACAGTGCAGTGCAGGTGACAGCAGGGTGTAGGGACAGTAGGGTGAGGGTGACAGCAGGGTGAGGGTGACAGCAGGGTGCAGGTGACAGCAAGGTGAGGGTGACATCACGAGGTGACAGGAGTGCAGGTGACAGCAGGGTGAGGGTGACAGCATGCTGTGGGTGACAGCAGGGTGCAGGTGGCAGCAGGGTGCAGGTGACAGCAAGGTGAGGGTGACAGCAGGGTGAGGGTGACAGTGCAGTGCAGGTGACAGCAGTGGGTGACAGCAGGGTGAGGGTGACAGCATGCTGTGGGTGACAGCAGGGTGCAGGTGACCACCCCCTGGGGACATCCCCTTCACCAGGGCTGTGCCAGCCCCCTGCAGTGCCCGCTGTCCCCTCTGTCCCCTCTGTCGTCTGTCCCCAGGTCGGACACTGCCATCCTGTACAACGACCGCTCGGTGCTGGAGAACCACCACATCAGCGCCGTGTTCCGCATGATGCAGGACGACGACATGAACATCTTCGTCAACCTCACCAAGGATGAGTTCTCGTGAGCTTTTCCCCCCACTCTGGGTGTCCCCTGGGTGCCCCCTGGGTGTCCCCAGCCCCCCTGATGTGTCACACCCCCCCCAAAAGGGAGCTGCGGGCGCTGGTGATCGAGATGGTCCTGGCCACCGACATGTCCTGCCACTTCCAGCAGGTCAAGTCCATGAAGACGTCGCTGCAGCAGCTGGAGAGGTGGGTGGCTGGGTGGGTGGGTGGCTCAGGGTGGCTTTGGGGACAAGCTGAGCCACCCCTGGGGGTCTCCCTGGGCAGGCTGGACAAGTCCAAGGTGCTGTCGCTGCTCCTGCACGCGGCCGACATCAGCCACCCCACCAAGCAGTGGGCCGTGCACAGCCGCTGGACCAAGGCCCTCATGGAGGAGTTCTTCCGCCAGGTAGGGCTGGGGACAGCCTGGGGGGGTGGTGGGGACGTGGGGACGCCCCCCCTGGGGACACCAAACCCCTCCCTTGCCTCGCCAGGGGGACAAGGAGGCCGAGCTGGGACTGCCCTTCTCGCCCCTCTGCGACCGCACGTCCACGCTGGTGGCCCAGTCCCAAATTGGTGAGTGATGGGGGTGGGGGTGGGGTCCCTGTGCCTGTCCTGTCCCCACCCTGTCCCCACCCTGTCCCCACCCTGTCCCCACCCTGTCCCAGGGCAGAGTGGGGGTCTTTAGACCAAGTTTATTAAAGAACCCCCAGCTGAGCCATGAGGTGCAGAAAGGACCCCCAAAACACCACCCCAGAGAGACCCAAACATCCCCCGGACCCCAAGCACCCCCAGAGAGCCCTAAACCTCCCCCAACCCAGGACACCCCAAACACCCCCAGAGAGCCCCAAACATCCCCAGGACCCCCTAAACAGCCCCCAGGAAGCCCCAAACATCCCCAGGACCCCCAAACACCACCAGAGAGCCCAAAACATCCCCAGGACCCCCAAACACCCCCGAGAGCCCTCAAACTCTCCCCAACCCAGGACACCCCAAAACACCCCCAGAGAGGCCCCAAACATCCCCCAGCCCAGGACCCCCAAAAATACCCCCCAGAGAGCCCCAAACATCCCCCAGGACCCCAAGCACCCCCAGAAAGCCCCAAACCTCCCCCAACCCAGGACCCCCAAACACCCCCCAGAGAGCCCCAAACCTCCCCCAGGACCCCCTTGGCTTTCTAAACAACTTCTCCGAGGTGGCTCCTCAACACCAGGGTGTTCATTTGGGGTTGAAGGTGGTTCCTTCACCACCAGGATGTTCATTTGGGGTTGAAAGTGGTTCCCTCACCATCAGGACATTAATTTAGTGTTTCCCTCGCCATCACGATGTTATTTTGGGGTTGAAGGTGTTTCCTTCACCACCAGGATGTTCATTTGGGGTTCCAGCATCTCCTGGCCCCTCTCATCCTTGTCTCTGTCACACCCCTGGGATGAAGTGGGTGGGGTGTGGATGTCCTGCTGCACCACCAGGCCTGGCCAGGGGATGTCCCCACAGTGTCCCCACAGTGTCCCCACGGTGTCCCCTGCCCACCCCCCAGGCTTCATCGACTTCATCGTGGAGCCCACCTTCTCAGTGCTGAGCGACGTGGCCGAGAAGATGCTGACGCCGCTGGCCGAGGACGGCGCCAAGGCCAACAAAGGCAACCCCTCAGCCCCCCAGGAGGCCAGGTGGGCTCCCCCCACCCGGGGTGTGGCGTGGGGGGGGGTCACCCACGCGTTTTGGGGGGCCCTGGAGCCAGCCCTGCCCCTGTCCCCAGCCCGCAGTGGCGGCAGCAGTCCCTGGACGAGCAGCTGGAGCTCGGGGACGTCAAGGCCGACCTGGCCTCGTTCCGCTCCACCTGGACCAAGCACATCCAGGAGAACAAGCAGAAGTGGAAGGAGAGGGCGGCCAGCGGTAGGTGACGGCCACCAGGGCCACCAAGGGCCACCAGGGCCACCAGGGGCCACCAAAGGCCACCAGCAGGGAGGCTCTGGCAGGGTCAGGTTGGACGCCAGGAAAAGGTTCCTCCCCCACAGGGTGGGTGGGTGGTTGAGTTGACCAAGGCTGAGCTCTGGGAGGGGTTTTGGGGTGTCCTGGTGGGTCCTTTCCCCCCAGGATGTCCCTGGTTCATGTCCCCCCCCCACCAGGCATCACCAACCAGGCATCCATCGAGGAGCTGTCGCCGTGTGAGGACCCCCCGGCCCCCCCCCACAGGGAGAACGGGGACGTGGAATAGCGAGGTGGGCACGGGGGAAGGGGAGGGAAGGGAGGGGAGGGGAGGGAAGGGGTGGTGGCATTGCCCTGACTGTCCCCTCCCCACCCACAGGTCCTGGTCCGGCTGAGTGACACCGTCTCGTCCCGAGTTCCATCGAGTTCAGCACCATCTGCAGGGCAGGAGCCCCCCCGGGGGGGTGGGCAGGGATTGGTGCCACCCCCTGTGCCAGGGATCGGTGCCACCCCCTGTGCCAGGGATTGGTGTCACCCCCTGTGCCAGGAGCCCCCCGGGGATGGAGGGGTGGGCAGGGATCGGTGCCAACCACACCAGTGCCAACCACGCCTGTCCCCCCCCACCCCGGGGCAGGATCGGTGCCAACCACTCCAGAAACCCCCCCTAGTGTCACCCCCGAGCCACCAAGTGCCCCCCACCCACCCCCCGGTCCTGTCACTGCCACTCCGGGGCTGCCCCGACCCCTCCCCCTGGCCCAGGATTGGTTCTTTTTGGGGGGTTTTAAAAACGTTTCTCCCCCCCCGGGCACTGGGGAGGGGCTGGCACAGCGAGGGTGGCACTCGGGGACAGCGAGGGCTGGGGCACAGCAGGCAGCCCTCGGAGGTGGCAGTGCCAGTCTTGGCTCTGTGTCCCTCCATCCCCCCCCAGCTCCAGCGTGTCCCTGGAATCCCCCAATCCCTCCATCCCTGCCTGGTATCCCGGTGTGTGCCTTTGGAGCACCCTTTGGGATCCCGGGGGATCCTTCCCTTTGGGCATCCCAAATCCTGCTGGGCACCCAGAGCATCCTTTGGGATCCCGGGAATCTTTCCCTGGGTATCCCAAATCCTGCTGAGCACCCGGAGCACCCTTTGGGATCCCGAGTCCGTCCCGGATCCCTCTCACCTCGGGAATCCTTTGGCACCCTCCTGGAATTCCCGGAATTCCCGGTCCCTCTGGCTCCAGCCCCTCCCACCCCCCCGTGTTTGCACCTCCCCCCTCCTCGTGTCCCCAATGTGTCCCCCCCTGTCCCCGTCACCGCTGGCAGAGCTCCACCTCGCCCCTCCCCCGCATGTGTGTCCCCCCCCTCCTCCGCGCCGCCGCTAACGAGCAATTAATCAATGAATTAATTCATTAATAAACCGCCACCACCAGGGCCACGCTCCGGGACCCTCAGCGAGGATTCGGGGGCTTAAAACAGGGGGTGGGGTGACCTCCCATCCAGCAGCACCCAAAGGGGTCCTGCCCCCCTCCCCCTCAGCACCCAAAGGAGGGTCCCGACCCCTCCCAAGCACTCCCGGGGGGGTCCTAAGGGGTGTCCCCTCTCCCCCCCCGAAGCGCACTCCAAGGAGGAGGCGGGGGGGAAAGGATCCCTTTAATTGCGGCCAGTGGGGGTCCCCATGCCCCCCCAACCCCCCCACCGTGTCCGTGGGTGTGCATCGTGGGTCACACGTGCCAAGTGCACTGTTTTGTGTGTCCCCCCACCCGTGTCCGTGCGTGGACCCCCCCCTCAAGGGGCTCACACGGGGTGGCTTTGGGACACCCTGGGGTGGCAGTGAGAGAGGAGGGGGCTGTGCGGTGTCCCCAGGGGGTGGCAGTGACGGGGGACACACACAGGTGTCACCTGCCCTGAGGTCCGAGGGGGTGGCAGTGACAAGGGTGGGGGTCTGTTCAGTGTCCCCAATGTCACCTGCCCTGGTGTCCCCAGGGGAGGGGAGGGGAGGGGACAGGACGGGCAGCCCGGCTCGTCGTTGTCCCCAAACCCCCCGGGGTGAAGGGGGGGAGGGGCCCTGCCCGTGACATTAAAAAAAACCAAAAAAGTCAAACAAAAAATCCACCCCCCCCCAAAAAAAAAACAACCCCCAAAATGATCCTGGGCAGCCCCAAAACCTTAGAAAATGGAATAAAAAAAGTCTCCGTCCGCGTCCGGCTCCCGCAGCCACCCCTGGGGACAAAGGACAGCGCTGGGGACAAGGGACAGCCCTGGGGACATCCCAACCCCCGGGGAGGGGAGGGAAAACCCCCGGCCCCGCCCCTGCCACCTCCCCCGACCCACCCCGGCGCTGTCCCCTCTGGGACACATCCCAGTGACATCCCAGTGTCCCCGGGCAGTGTCCCAGTGCCCCCCAGTGCTTCCAGTGCCATCTCCCAGTGCCCCCCCGTGTCCCAGTGCAGCACCCCAGTACCCCCAGTGCCTCCCAGCACCACCTCCCAGTGCCCCCAAGTGCCCCAGTGCCCTCCTCGTACCCAGCAGAGTGCCCCAGTGCCACTCCAGTGCCCCAGCTGGGTGTCCCAGTGCCCTCCCAGTGCCCCTTCAGCATCCCAGCAGCATGTCCCAGTGCCCCAGTGCAGTGTCCCAGTGCCCTCCCAGTGCCCCATTACCATCTCCCAGTGCCCCCCTGTGTCCCAGTGCAGTGTCCCAGTGCCCTCCCAGTGCCCCATTACCATCTCCCAGTGCCCCCCTGTGTCCCAGTCCAGTGTCCCAGTGCCCTCCCAGTGCCCCAGTGCCATCTCCCAGTGACGCCCCCCATCCCAGTACAGTGTCCCAGTGTCCCGGTGCCATCTCCCAGTGCCCCCCAGTGTCCCCAGTCCGTACCTACTGGCCGCTGGCCGCTCCCTGGGGCTCTATATGGGTGTCCACGTGCCAGGTCCCGTCCCGGGGGGTCCCGTCCCGGGGGGTCCCCACTCTGGGCGTGCCATCCCTGGGGGTCCCCGCCCTGGCTGTGCCATCACCGGGGGTCCCTGTGGGTGCCACGGGATGACCTCAGGCCCCCTCCCGAGCCCCCCCCAAACTCTCCCCGAGCCCCCAAACCGCCCCCCACCCCCGAGCCCCCCAAACTCACTCTGGCCGAGCCCGGGGCCGCCCTGGTGCGTGGCCAGGGGGCAGGACCCGCCGGGGCTGTGGCTGTGCTCGATGTCCCCGCGGTGGCAGCGCCCGGGGGGTGGCACCTTGTCCTTATCCTTGTCCCCTTCCTCCTCCTCCTCCTCCTCCTCCTCGTCCTGCTCCTCCTCCTCCCCCTGGGCCCTCTTGCACAGGTGATGCTCCACCATCATCTGCAGCTCTGCCGGGCAGGGAGGGGCGCTGGGGTGGGGGGCGTGGGGTCCTCACGCCCCAGGGACACCGCTGGGGACACCGCGGGGACACCGCGGGGACGCGGCCAGGGGCGGCTCGGTGGCCCTGCCCACCGCTAGCCCACGGCCAGCACCCCGTCCCCTGCGGTGCCAGGGTGGTCGTCACCCCCTGTGCCCCCAGTGCCCCCCTGTGCCCACCCCGTGCCCCCCCAGTACCTTTCATGGTGGGGGTGGTGCGGGAAACTTTCTTCCTCTGCCGGGGGGACATCGACAGACCCGACTGGAGAGGGGGAGGGAGAATTGTGTGAATGGGGGACCCCCTGGGCACCCCAGCGGCTCTGACGGGGGTCCCCAAAACCCCTCCCATCTTTGGGGGTCCCCACTACCCCCATGGGCACCACGCACCTTGAGCAGGGGGTTGGGCAGCCGGTCCTCGTCGATCTCTGGGGGCAAAGAGGTCATTGGGGGTCTGGGGTCCCTCCTGCACCCCCCCAGTTGGGATCTACCCCACCCAGGCTGGTTGTCACCCGGGGCGGGGAGGGGTCGGGGGTGATAGTGACAGTGCCCCCCCAAACATTGCCACAGGGACCCACATCCCCACCCCACCCGTGGGGGGAAAGAGGGGGTCCTGCGCTTGGGGGGGTCCTTGAGTGTCATTTAGGGGGGTCTTGAGCGTGTCAGGGGTCTCTGAGCACGTGGGGGTCCCTGAGTATCATGGGGGTCCCTGAGTATCATGGGGAGGGGTCCCTGAGCATCATTTAGGTGTTCCCTGAGCACCCTGGGGGTCCCGGGTGGGCTGGGGCCGGGGGGAGGGGGTGGGGGACACAGTGACTCCCGAGGACCCACCTGGGGACGATTGGTCGCTGCTCAGCACGAGGTTGGCGGGGTCGGGCGGCGCCTCCGGATCTGGGGAAGGGTGGGTGGTGGGATTTGGGAGTTGGGGAGGGGGCACAGGAGACGATGAAGACCCCGGGTGCTACTCCCGGCCCCCACTGTACCCCCCGTCCCCCTCTGTCCCCTCGGCCGGACACACACGTGGCTTTGCCATCACAGCTAATTAGGGCCCCGCAGCTAATTACAGCCCGCCCCGCCCCGCGGGAAGCGCGTGGGGACATCGTGAGCGGGGACATGGTGGGGACATGGTGGGGACATCGCGCGCGGGGACAGCGGCGGGCCCGGCCCTTCCTCCGCCCTTGGCCAAGGTCACCGGGAGCCGCTCCCGCCCCGAATCGGGGCCTTTGGGAAGGATGAGAGGGGGAATTCGGTGCCCCCCCCCCCCGAAAGGTATGGGGACAGCGGGGAGGGCGGTGGGGACACCCCCTGACCCCGCGCCCCCTTTCCCCGCTGACCCAGTGACTTGAGCGGCGGTGGAAGAAAAAAAAAAAACAACGTGGAATTCCCGGCGAGGATTCCCTAATGAGGCGGGAACGCCTAATGAGATGCTGATGAGATGCTAATGAGGCTGCAGAGCGGCCGGGAGGGGGCGGGGGGAGCCCCCTCGGCACCTCCCCAGCCCCCTCCTCCTCCCCGACCCCCCGCCCCCCGGCGCATCTCGTCGTGTCGGCCCTGTTGCCATGGAAACGCGCGGATCTGGATGGGAACCGGATTAGAGGGAACCGGGAATCGCCGGGAATCGCCAGGAATCGCCCCGGCCCCGCCAAGGACCCACAGAGGAGCCCCTCAGCCCCCCACTTTGGGGAGGGGGTCCAACCGCCTCCCTCCCCCCAGAACCTGCGGCGATTCGGGGTCTCCACGGGGTGGGATCCAAACCCACCCCCTCTCGGGATGGATCCCGGGAGCCCCCTGGGACGTTCCGGCCTCCCAGGAGGGTGTGGGGAAGGCTGTGCCTGCCCCGCGGGGCGTGGGGAGTGGGGACAGCGGTGCCACCTGCCAAGGTCACCCAGGTGGAGCCCCCCAAGTCGAGACCTCCCCTTTCCCGCTCCGGGGGTCCTGAAGATGCCGGGGCTGGTCCTGCCTCTCCATCCCTCCCTCCATCACTCCATCCCTCCCTCCATCCCTTCCTCCTCCCTCCATCCCTTCCTCCCTCCCTCCCTCCATCCCGGCTCGGCCGGCGCCGCGCGCTCCGGCCGGGGCTATTTTTAGATCAATCTCCACCAGCATCGATTAAGGAGAGCGGCGGGATCCGGGATGGGAACGGGATCGGGATCAGGGACGGGATTGGGGATGGGAACGGGATCGGGATCAGGGACCAGAACTGGACCAAGGACGGGAATGGGATCGGGATCAGAGACGGGATCAAGATCAGGGATGAGATCAGGATCAGGGATGGGAGAGGGATCAGGGATAGGAGCGGGATCAGGGATAGGAGCGGGATCAGGGATGGGATCAGGATCAGGATCAGGGATAGGAGCGGGATCAGGGATGGGAATGGGATGGATCCAGCTCATGGATCTCAGCAGGACGGAGCAAACCCTCCCTCCCCCACCCCCAGGATGGTCCCCCCAGCCTTGGGGACACACTCGGAGGGGTGGGGGGTGTTGGGGACACGGGCAGAGGGGCAGGACAGAGCCCTGGGCCAGGCCTGGCACCCGGGGGGCACCCGGGGGGAATCGGGGCACGGGGGAGGGGGGGCTCAGCAGAAATGGGGGTCCAGGAGCTGCGGGACCTGTAGGGACACGGGGGGCCCTGTGGGGACAAGGGTGGGGCTGGACAGGTGTGGGGACAACCCCGCGGGACACGGGGACAGCGTGGGGACACCTGGTAAGGGGCTGGCACGGCCGAACCCCCCCCCCAAAAAAAAGGACACCCCAAAAAGGGGGTCGGCACCTGCAGGGAGGGGACACCGGCACTGCCACCTCCTGCCACCCACGGGGCTGGTGGCACCCCCGAGCTGGGGGGTGGGGCTCTGAACCCCCCCGGGGAGGGGAAACTGAGGCAGGGCTGGACGGGAGACCCCCCCCCTTCCCTTCCCCCCAGGGCAGGGTCGTGCCCGAGCCCCCCCAGCCTGGCTGGGGTGGGAAGGGGGATGTGGGTGCTCCGTGCTGGGGGGTCTCGTGCCCCCCACCCCAGCAGCCCCCCAGCACTTGCTCTCACTCCTGGGGACCCCCAGAACTCACCCTTGTTGCTGGAGACCCTCCCAGCTCTCACCCTCACTCCCAGGGACCCCCCCCAACTTTTCACCCTCGTTCCTGGGGACCCCCCCAGCTCTCACCCCGTCCCCGGGGGACCCCACGGTGTCACCGAGCCGGCTGGTGGCCCCAGCTGGTGGGTGGCCCCGTTGGGTGACAGTGTGACACCCTCCCCCACACCCCTGGCACACGGGGGGTGTCCTCGCCCACCACCCACCAGGACCCCCAGCTGTGGGTACGCGGCTGGAGCCCCCCCAGCCCCCTCTCGTCCCCTGCAGCCCCCAGGGCTGGGGTGGGGTGGGCAGGGAGGGGGTCAGGATACCCCGGGTGGGGAGGGGGTCCCCAACCGCGTCCCCTCTGGGCCACCCTCCCTTCTGGGATCCCCCCCAGCGGGACCAGGGTGGTCCCAGCAAGGCTGGAGGGCCCGGGGTCCCCGGGAGGGGGGCCGTGACCCTCACCCAGCCCGGGTGGCCCCATGGGGGTCGCGCTGAGCCACCACATGGCCCTGGCACTGTCACCACGACCCCTCCCCACGGCCCCCCGAGCGGCGGGGCGGCTCTGCGGGGCTGTCCCTGCGGGGGTGTCCCCGGGGGTACCGGGAGGGGAGGGAGGGGCTGCACCCACCCGGCCGCTGTCCCCGCGTCACCCCCTCGCCCCCGGCCCGGCCCCTCCACCCCCGGGGCCGCCACCCCCGGCCCGGCCGTGCCCCCGCTGTGCCCGCAACGCCCCGAGCGCCCCCCTCGGAACCCCCCGTGGGGTCCCCCCGGCGCCCCCCGACCTGCTCGGCCGCCTCCGGGTCCAGGTGCGGCTCCAGCAGCGGGACCGTGAACTGGATCTTGCGGGGGCTGTTGGGCTCCATCGCGGGCGGCGGCGGCTCCGGCGGCTCCGGCGGCTCCGAGCGGCCACGCCCCGGCCACGCCCACGGGACACGCCCACGGGACACGCCCAGCGAGGGCCACGCCCATCGCCACGCCACGCCCCGCGACCCGCGCGCGAACGGACGGAGCGTGGGACGCGGGACAGAGACGGGGACGGACACGGGGACAGACACATGGATGGGGCTGGGAGATGGGAACAGACACGGGGACAGACACAGGGACAGACACAGGGCACGGGGACAGACACAGGGGACAGACAAACAGACACAAGGACGGACTCCAGGACACAGGGGTGGACACGTGGACAGAGCTGGGACAGAGGGACAGACACAGGGACAGAGCCAGGACACAGGGACAGGCACAGGGACACGAGAACAGACACAGGGACCCAGGGACACAGGGACAGACACAGGGACACGAGAACAGACCCAGGGACACAGGGACAGACAGAGGGACACAGGGACAGACACACAGACACAGGGACAGGGACACAGACACAGGGACACAGAGGGACACAGGGACAGGGGCACAGGGCCGGATGGAGCCCGGGTCACAGGGACAGACAAACAGAGCCAAGGACGGACTCGGGGACACGGGGACACTCACGTGGCCACGAGGACGGACACGCAGGCCCTGGGACAGACAGACAGACTGTGGGACAGGCACGGGGGCACAGACACCCCCCACGGTGACAGGGAGGGGACAGGGACAGCCCCCCCAGCACACTCAGGGTGGGGACAAAGTCCAGCATCTCCTCCCCCTTCAGCCTCCTGGGTCTGTCCCTAAACAGCATTTGGGGACTGTCCCCTCCCCCCCCACCCTAACCCACCCCAACCCCCCTAAAATGTAGAAGATTTGGGGGTGTGTGTGGGGGAGGGCTCAGTGTGCCCTCATCCCCTGCCCCCTCCACCACTTCTTCCCCTCCCAGCGAACCCCCCTGGGTTTTTTGGGGCGGGAAGGGGTGGATTGTCACTCCCCAACCCCGAACCCCCCTGCGGTGCCAGGAGTGCGTGTCCCATCACTTATTCATGGAGCTGCCGGGATCTGGCAGGAGGAATCCTCTAAGTAGGTCAGGCGGAGGGGGGACACACACAGAGGGGGGCTGCCTGATCCCCGCCGTGCCCTCTGCCGAGCCCCCCGGCAGCGCTGGGGGTCCCTAAGGAGGGGGAGGGGCGCGGTGGGTACAGGGGGTGTCTGGATGAAGGTGCTGGAGGGGAGGGGGAGGAAAGAGAGGGGGTCTCCAGCTCTAAGGGGTGAAAAGGAAGTAGGAGACCTCAAACTCCCCCGTGGGACCCCCTCCCCCGATCCTATCCCATCAATCCCAGCCCATCCCATCCCATCAATCCCAGCCCATCCCAGGGGATGCTCCAGCAGCGTTTGGGTCCTGGGGGTGTCCAGAGCCCTGGGTGGGGGGACAGGGGGGGTCTCCAGCTCCAAAGGGGTGAAAAGGCAGCGGGAGACCCTCAAATCCCTCCCATGGGACTCCCCGTTGCCATCCCATCAATCCCATCCCATCCCATTAATTCCATCCCATCCCATGGGAGGGGATGCTCTGACAGCCTGTGGGTTGTGTCCATCCCATCCCTCCAGGGTTGTGTCCATCCCTCCCAGGGCCGTATCCATCCTTTCCAGGGCCGTATCCATCCTTTCCAGGGACATTTCCACCCCTCCAGGGCTGTGTCCATCCTTCCCAGGGCTGTATCCATCCTTTCCAGGGGCATCCCCACCCCTCCAGGGCTGTGTCCATCCCCCAGAGACACATCCATCCTTTCCAGGGGCATTTCCACCCCTCCAGGGCTGTGCCCATCCCTCCCATGGACGCGTCTGTCCCTCCAGGGGACGTGCCCATCCCATCCCATCCCATCCCATCCCATCCCATCCCATCCCATCCCATCCCATCCCATCACCATCCCACACCCATCCCATCCCATCCCATCCCATCCCATCCCATCCCATCCCATCCCATCCCATCCCATCCCATCCCATCCCATCCCTCCCAGGGGCCGTGTCCGTCCTTCCCGGGGGATGTTCCAGGCTCAGCGATTCCCGGAGTGCTCCGGGTGTGTTCCCCCCCGTCCCCCCCCTCCCCGGGCCGAGGGAACGCTTTAATTCGGGGCTTTATCCACAAACACTCCCGGGCTAAAAATATCCCCGAGGCCGCGGGCGCGGCGTTCCCGGGCAGCGCCTGCCGGGAGCTTCCTTGCCTTTTTTGACGGGATCGGGAGCGGGGCTGGAGCGGGGACAGAGCCCGGAGCTCCCCGGGGACGGGCGGGGCTGGGACCCGGCCCCGGGGGATCCTCATCCCGGGGGATCCAGAGGATCCAGCTCCTGGAGTCGCAGATCCCGGGGGACCCCGGCTCCTGAGGTATCCGGCTCCTGGGACATCCAGCTCCTGGGATATTCAGATCCCGAGGGATCCAGATCCCGGGGGATCCAGAGCTTGGGACCACCCAATGGGGTGTCACGGCCAGCTGGGCACGAGGGACCCCTCGGGAAGGTTGGGAATCCTTGGGAATGTTTGGGACCCCTCGGGAAGGGTTGGGGGGACCCCTCTGGAAAGCCTGGGACCCCACTGGAAGGTTTGGGATCCTCGGGAATGTTTGGGAACCCTCGGGAATGTTTGGGACCCCTTGGGAATATTTGGAACCATTGGGAATGTTTGGGACCCCTCTGGAAGGGTTGGGGCCCTTTGGGAATATTTGGGAGCCCTTGGGAATATTTGGGACCCCTCGGGAATGTTTGGGACCCCTCTGGAAGGTTTGGGATCCCTCGGGAATGTTTGGGAACCCTTGGGAAGGTTGGGGAACCCTTGGGAATATTTGGGACCCCCCGGGAGTGTTTGGGAGCCCTCGGGAGTGTTTGGGACCCCTCAGGAAGGTGGGTCCCCCCTGGTGGTGGCCCCCGTTGTCTCTCGGTGCCCCCGGTGTCTCTTGGTGGCCCCCGTTGTCTCTCGGTGCCCCCGGTGTCTCTTGGTGCCCCCGGTGTCTCTGGGTGCCCCCGGTGACGCCTCCCCGGCCCGGTTGGGGGGGGGGTGTTTGATCTCCGGCCCGGGGAGGGCTCGGTTGAGTTTCCTCTCGCGGACAGATGAGTTCCCTCCTCTGACGACGGACGGGGGGCCGGGCACGGCCCGCGGGGGGCAGGAGGCCGCTGCCCACGGGCCCCGAGTGGGCACAGGTGGCTGCCAACCCGCCCCCCAAGCCGGTGAGTGAGGGGTATTTGGGGTTGGGTTTGGCCTGGAGGGGGAGAGGGGGAGATGGAACAGCCGGGAAAGGGAATTCCGGCACCGGAGCATCCCCGGGGTGGGTTTGGGGAACCCCAGGGTGGGTTTGGGGAACCCCAGGGTGGGTTTGGGGAACCCCAGGGTGGGTTTGGAGAACCCCAGAGTGGGTTTGGGGCATCCCACGGTGGGTTTGGGGAACCCCAGGGTGGGTTTGGGGAACCCCAGAGTGGGTTTGGGGAACCCCAGCGTGGCTTTGGGGCATCCCAGGGTGGGTTTGGGGCATCCCAGAGTGGGTTTGGGGAACCCTAGGTGGTTTGGGGAACCCCAGAGTGGGCTTGGGGCATCCTCGAGGTGGGTTTGGGGAACCCCGGGGTGGGTTTGAGCATCCCAGGGTCGGTTTGGGGAATCCCAGGGTGGGTTTGGGGCACCCCAGGGTGGGTTTGGGGAACCCCAGGGTGGGTTTGGGGCATCCCAGGGTGGGTTTGGGGAATCCCAGGGTGGGTTTGGGGCATCCCAGGGTGGGGCAGGAGGTGGAGGAGCCCCCCCCGTGACTCTCCTGCGTGTCCCCCCGAGAGCTCCTGCGGCCCCCTGGCCATGGAGAGGACCCCCATTGCTCAGCCCCCACCCGTGGGTGAAGCGCCGCGCGTGGGTCCGGCAGAGCCGGGGCTGGAGGGTCCCCCCGCCCTCCCGGTGCGAGGAAGAGGAGGAGGAAGGGGCGACCACCTCCACGCGGGACCACTTCACAGAGAGGGGGCACAGCATGGCCTCCCGTGTCCCCCCCGGTGTCCCCCGTGGTGTCCCCTCCAGGTAGGGACAGGTGGGGTCTCCCCGGGAGGGGGGGGGTCGAGTGAACCCCCGTGGGACCCCCCTGAGGTGTCCCGCGTGTCCCCCCCGCGCCCCGCAGGGTCCCATGGGTGCCGGGCTGGGGTCCCTGGGACGCCGAGGAGATCCTGTCCGACCTGGGCTTCGTGGGCAGCGACCCGGGGGGCGCCTGGCGGGTCCCCCCCCGCTTCTTCTCCGCCCCCTCCCGCGCCAACGGCATCGACTTCCAGCTCTTCCTGCGCTCCCAAGCGCGGCGTCTGGAGATGGAGGATCCCGGCCTGCTGCTGGCCGGTGCGTCACGCGTGGGGGACCCCCGAGACCCCCCCCACTCCCCGCTGAGACCCACCAACCTCCCCATCCCCCCGGGGCTGCATCCTCTTTGGGGGGGAAAGTGGGAAAACCCTCCCGTGCCTCAGTTTCCCCAGGGTGGGGGGGGCACCTCCAGACTCTCCCCCTGACCCCCCTTTTACGCCCCCAGGTCGCTTCCAGCCTCTCCAGGCTTTGGCTGCCACGGCCGACCCCTTTTTCGGCCTCTGCTCCCACGCGTCGCGAACACCCGAGAGGCGCATCGGCTCCCGGCCCTGTCGCGACATCGCCGACACCGCCCCCCCGTCCTGTCGCGACATCGTCCCCGCCCCACCCGGGGCGCGGCTCAAGCGGGCCGTGTCCCCAGACTCCCCAGAGCTCCGGGGTCGCGGGGGCCCGGGAGGGCCCGGGGGACCCCACCCACCGGCCCAGGGGGGATCTCAGGGGGGCTCCGCGCCCCGTGGGGGGGTGGGGTCCCCTCGGTGCCACTCGTGGGGTGACCCTGCGGCCCCCCAGCGTTCGGAGCCCCCAAAACTGGTGGGGGGCAGCGCCGGGGGCGCCCCCACGGGCCGCGACCCCCTGGGACGCCCCTCAGAGAGCGGAGAGCGGAGGAGTCCGGGGAGATGGAGGAGGTGAGGGGGGGGATACCAGGGGTGGGAGGAGGGGAGGGAGGGAGGAAGGAGCTGGAGCGGGAAATGTCCCCGGAGCTTCCCCGGCTTTTAAGGTTTGAATGATTTAAAGGCTCGGCCGGAGCCTGGGAGAGCGAGGGAAGGGGGAGGGGGAGCAGAGGGGGTCACCCCCCCATCGGCCACAGACACGCACAGCCCTGGGGGGGGTGGTCACACGTGGGGACATGTGACACGGAGGGACGCCCTGAGGGACACAGGGACACCCTGAGTGACACAGGGACACCCTGAGGGACACAGGGACACGCGTGGCCCCTCCCCGGCCCTGCCACCCCCTGCCCGCAGGTGCTGAGCGATGGTCGCGATGATGGTCGCGATGATGGTGACAGTGACGGTGACAATGACGGTGACGATGCCCACAAAGAGACCTCTCAGCCCCTCCGGTCCTTCCGTGTGTCCATCAGGACCCAAACGAGTAGGTTGGGGGGGGAAGGGGGGGTCTCCCACCCTCCTGGGGGCACGAGCTGCCTGTCACCAGCGTGTCCCCCCGTGTCACCCCCCCGTGTCACCCCCCTCGTGTCCCCCCCTCCAGCCTCCACGTGGCTCTGGAGCTCCCACGGCTTCGAGGAGGGGTCGGTGCCCCTCCGGGTGCCCCCCCAGGCCCTCCGTGTGTCCATCAGGACCCAAACGAGTGAGTTGGGGGTGGGGGGCACAAAGGACCTGGTGCCACCCCGTGTGTGTCCCCCCACCCCACCCGTGTCCCCCCCTCTCTTCTCCAGGCTCCACGTGGCTCTGGAGCTCCCACAGCAGCAGCAGCAGCTCCGTGGAGGGGTCGGTGCCCCCGGGTGCCCCCCTGGGTGCCCCCCCAGGCCCGTCCCCCCTGGACGTCCTGAGGCCACCACGGGGTGGGGGGGACCGCCCGTGTCCCCTCGGGACCGTCATGCTTTGGACACGCGTGGGTGTGGGTGTGGTTCACGTGTGTGTGTGTGTGCGTGTTTTGGGGGCACGTGTGGTTGTTTTGGGCATGTGTGTTGTTTGGGGCACGTGTGGTTGTTTTTGGGGGCACGTGTGGCTCTTTGACACCCAAAACCCCCCCGACTCAGGGTCTTTGCCCCCTCCTCCCCGGGGGTGGCACTGGGGACGTGTCCCCACTCCCCACCCTCGGGGACACCAGAGGGGGTTGGGGGACACGACGGAGGGGGACACAAAAATGTGGGGACACGCTGGAGTCCCCAAAAAGGACGGTGGTGGGTGTGTCCCTTTTTTTCTGGGGTGGGGGGGACCGGCCCAACCCACCCGCTCTGGGGATGGGAGACCCCAGGATGAGCCCCCTGGGCTGAACTGGGGGTTCTCCCTTTTGGGGTCGGGGGACACATCCCTCTCCTTGTTGGGGTAGGGGACACATCCCTGTGCCTTTTGGGGTTGGGGGGCTCATCCCTGTCCCTTTTGGGGTGGGGGGTTCATCCCTGTCCCTTTTTGAGGTGGGGGGTTCATCCCTGTCCCTTTTTGGGGTGAGGGGCTCATCCCTGTCCCTTTTTGGGTTGGGTGGCTCATCCCTGTCCCTTTAGGGGTGGGGGGCTCATCCCTGTCCCTTTTTGGGGTGGGGGTTGAGCCCAGACCCTCCCGAGGGATGAGAGGGACGAGCTGAGCCCCAGAACCTCAGGGAGGACCCACCACGGTCCCCTCGTCCCCTGTGCCCCCGGCCCCCCCGTCCCAGGGTGGCACCAGCCCAGCTCTGGAGCTCCTGGGAATGCCCTGGGGGATAAACAGACCCCGGGGCTTCCCCATGGAGAGCGGCCAGAGGGGGATTAGCCGGGATTATCCCCACGGCCCCCTCCGGGCATCGGGGTTGGATCCCAAACCCTGGAACCGGGGCTGGATCCCAAAACTTGGAACTGGGGCTGGATCCCAAACCCTGGAACTGGATCCCAAAACTTGGAACCGGGGCTGGATCCCAAACCCTGGAACCGGGACTGGATCCCAAACCCTGGAACTGGATCCCAAAACTTGGAACTGGGGCTGGATCCCAAACCCTGCAGCTGGGACAGGGACAGGTGGAGCCAGGATGGTCTGGGGGGGTGGTTTGGGGCCGGAGTTGGTGATTCCAGCGGGATTAGGGAACCTTTGGAACGCTGGAGCAGCACAATGAGGTCCCTCAGGCGAGCTCGGGTGTCCCCAGCCCGCTGTTTGGGGATTATCTCCCCAACCCAGGATCCCAGTTCCTTCCCGGGGGCTTTTGGCTGCACATCCCACCCCGAAATCCCTGCCCGGAGCAGGGCTGGGCGTTCCCAGCCTGCTCTTCCCCCCGGGAATGAACGGGATGCTCTGAGGGACCAGGAACAGGCACAAAGGTGGCACAAATCCCTCCCCACCGCCCTCCCGCCGGGCACGGAGCGGGAGGGGGGATGGAAAATAGCCGGGATCCATCCTCGGGCTCCGCAGCCAAGAGGAAGGAAGCGGCCAAGCCGTGGGAGCAGCTTCCCAGCGGGAGCAGGAGCTGCTTGGGGGGCAGGGATGGAGCTGCCAGCAGGGCCCTGTGTCCTACAGAGTCTCATCCAGCGCCTTCCCAAACCCCATCCCACCCCCGTCCCCATCCCATCCATCCCCCACATCCCCCATCCCACCCCCCCTAAACCCACCCTCCCATTCCTGACGCCCATCCAGCCCCTTCCCAAACCCCATCCACGTCCCAATCCACATCCCATCCATCCCCCAACCCCACATCCAGCCCCCTTCCCGACCCCATTCCATCCGCTTCCCATCCCACCCTCCCTTTCCTCACCCCCCCATTCCCACCCAATCCATCTCCCCTCCATCCACATCCCATCCTCCCATTCCCACCCCATTCCCGTCCCATTCCCACCCCATTTTCACCCCATTCCAGTCCCATTCCCGCCCCATCCCCTCCTCATCCCTCGGGCCCGTCCCTGGAGCGGCACATCCGTCATTCCCGGAGTTCCACCCCAAGCTTTTTCCCGGCGTTTCCAGCCGAGCGATCCCGCCGATCCCTGTCAGCATTCCTGTCAGAATTCCCGTCAGGATCCTTGTCAGGGAGTCACGCTCGGCTGCCCCATCCCCGGAGCCGTGACAGGACCTCCTCCCCATCCTCCGGACGGGAGATGTTTCCCAATGGGAATGATTCATCCCGGTTTTTCATGGATCACAATCCCCACCCCCCCCCGCCGTGTCCAGCCCCTGGTCACTCATCCCTCTCATCCCTCGGGGTGGTCTGGGATCCATCCCAAAAGGGACAGGGATGGGGCCCCCCACCCCAAAAGGGACAGGGACTCAGAAATTCCTTGGAAAGCCCCCTGGGATGGGGCTGGGTTGGTTTGGGGGGCTCTGAGAGCTCCGAGAATCCCCCCAGGATGGGGTCGGGCTGGTTTGGGGGGCTCTGAGAGCTCTGAGACCCCCCCAGGATGGGGTCGGGCTGGTTTGGGGGGCTCTGAGAGCTCCGAGACCCCCCGGATGGTTTGGGAGCCCCGGGGGGGGGCTAATCCGGGCTAATCCCCCCTCCCTGGCCGGGTGCCCTGGCACCTTCCCACCCCTGGAAAATCCCTCAGGTGCCCGGCCCGCCCCTCTGAGCACCTTCAAAAGGGGCAGAGCCCTTCCCTGACCCATCCTGCTCGTGCCTGTCGTCCCAAACCCGCCGGGATTTGTCCCAGACCCACCGAGAGGGATCGGGATGAGGCAGCTCTGGACCCTCCTGCTCCTGGCCGGGCTCTCGAGCCTCGCCGTTGCCTGTGAGGATTTTTGGGGGGTCCTGGGGTGCTGGGGTGGGGGGTCCACACTGGGGGGTCCTGGGGGTGTCCTGGGGGTAAAGAGGGGGTCTCTCTGCCTCCTGCAGTTCCCGTGGGTGAGATGGACCCCCAGAGCCCGGAGGAGCTGGGGGGCCTGGGAAGAGTCCCCTGGAGGAAGAGGAGCCCGAAAAGAGTCCCCTTAGAGGAAGAGGAGCCCGAAAAGAGTCCCCTTAGAGGAAGAGGAGCCCGAAAAGAGTCCCCTGGAGGAAGAGGAA